AAATTTTACAACCTATATAGCTAGAGAAAATTTGTGAAATTTAAAAAATTAAAAATTTATATTTATTTGAAATTTGTTATATCCTAAGGGGAAAAATTGAAAACCAAATCTGTTCGTTTTATACAAAAGTAGCAGGCTAAAAGATTAGATGAATTAATGAATCTTTTTTTCATTGAAAATAATCTGTTTTCTACTTATGACATAAATTTTGGTTTTTAACGGTCTCCAGTGCATTTTACTACAATCACTGCCGACCTGAGCTATTTTGCTTTTGATATTTTATTTCTTTTGTTTAACGCTCGACACAGCTGTTTTTTGCATGTTAAGTGTGAGGAGTGATTCGGATGTGCGATTCCCTGGATTTGTCATCAGACATCTAGGGCGTAAGTTAAATTTATCTACAAATATCTGCATATTTCTAAAATGAGTCCGCTTTCTGTTTTTTTAATATTGGCGCTCAGCTACTTGTCGGACCCTGTTAAAGGTGCCGCATCGAAAGACGATATAGTCGAAATTACGGACGACTATTTCGACCTTAAAATAAGAAAGTATCTTCTAGCTATAGTCATGTTTTATGCCCCTTGGTGTGGCCATTGCAAACAGCTCAAGCCGCACTTTGAGAGTGCCGCCAAAAAATTGGCCATGGAAGATCCACCGGTGGTCTTTGCCAGGGTCGATTGCACGGATAGGGGAAAAATTTCCTGCGCCAGGTATGGAGTGAGAAGTTTTCCCGTTTTAAAGATATTCAAAGACGGTGACTATTACGACGAGTACAACGGGCCGAGAGACGAAGGAGGCATCTTCAGGAAAATGGCTTCTCTGACAAGAACTTCTCCAAAAAATCTACACTCTTCCGGAGATGTCAATAAGTTCAGAAACTATTTTGAGAGCGTTGTTGTAGGATTCTTCCCTACGGATTCAACGTTAAAAGATATTTTTGTAAAAATTTCCAATGACTCTCACGATAAAATTAGATTCGGTATCACAAATAACAAAGCTTTGGCCAATGAGTTCGTTGCAACGAACACAATCGCGATTCTGAGGCCAACGGAACAGAAAAACGATCTCGAACCGGATTATTTGAAATACGAAGGTAAAGAGGACACGAAAGAAGTACAAAAATGGCTTGCTAATAATCTTTACAGCTTGGTAGATTTGAGAACGAGGATAAACATGAATTACTTAAGGCCGCCAATAGTTGTTATTTACTGTGATATTTCTTTGGACAAAATGAACGATCCAAATATAAAATATTGGAGGAATAGAGTTCTTCACACTGCGAGTAAATACAAACAAGATTTCAAATTTTTTGTAACGTCGTTTGAAGATTTTGATTACGAATTGAAAGATTTTGGCATAGAGTATGATACTTCGACAAATACCAAACCCGTGGTAACTGTGAAAACGGCTAACGGAATGAAGTACTCCTTAACCGATGAACTGTCGCAAGAAAATCTAGATAACTTCCTCCAATCTGTTTTAAAAAAGGAAATAAAGCCATACATCAGATCTGACCCCATACCTCAACAGGACGAAGGGCCCGTAAAGACAGCCGTAGGTGATAACTTCGACGAAATAGTGACAAACAATGGCAAAGACACCTTCATCGAATTTTACGCTCCGTGGTGCACTCATTGCAAAAAACTGGCCCCTATTTGGAAGAAGTTGGGTGAAAGGATGAAAGAAGACGAGGTAGAAATTGTCCAAATGGACGCCACAAGCAATGACATTTTTCCACCTTATGAAATTAACGGATTCCCGACAATCTATTGGGCAGGAAAAAATTCTAAATCAAAACCAGAAAAATACGAAGGAAGGAGAAGCCTCAAAGAGATGATCAAGTTTATAGCCCAGCGTGCGGACGTTGAGTTGAAGAGATACAACAGAGACGGTGAGAGGAGGGACAAAATTCAACAAACGAAAGTAGAACTGGCAGATGAAGTAACTATAACACAATCAGACAGTAAAATTCAAAAAGAAGAATTGTAAAGCAAAGAAAACATTATTCATTTGCCGAAATGTTGACAAATGTCAAAAAATTCACCCACATGTTGGACGGCAAACATTTATACGACTCGAATTACCGAATTGTACTCAACTCATTTTAGCCTTTCTAGGCGTTTTCTAAAAATGTACCTTTTTTTCGTTTTTTGCATTCCTGTCATATTTTATTTACCTATGTATGTGGAAGTTAATTAATTGTATGTATACATAATTATTATTTTTCATAAACAAAAATTTCAATTCACGATTATGGTTTGTTGTTCATACATTTTATCTAACGCTTATAAGCTATAAGTTAAGTCTAAACATATTTTGTAAAAGTTATATGAACATTAGGTTTCAAATGTTCATATGCATTGTAATGTTATTTTTTTACTGCCATAAAACAAATTATTAAGTTAACGCAATAACATTTTCAAAAAATAAACTTTTGTCTTATGAATACGATAGTATCAGTACAAAAACCAAAACGTTAAATTTGGAAACTAATCTTGCATAATTAACAGAAAAGAAATCAACCCTGAGCTTGAAGACCACCCAAGCTTGGTCAGAAGAATCAATCGTTATTTATTATCGCATTTTTTCCGCTTTAAAATTGTACTAACAAAAATTACATACATGTATTTGAGAAATTCCTGAAATGTGGCATTATACCATAAAAACATGTATGTATAAAACATAGAGGACTGTTTGGACAAATCATTATCTAACAATTTCAAATCAACAATATAAATAACACTATTGTAATATGACTGTAATAATAATCATTACAAGCCTAACAGTTTATTGAGTTGAGAGGTTTCTTCACAGGGTCAGCGAGTTGACGATCACCACAATTTCATGGATTGTTTAAAGTGCCTACAATGAACAATTCTCATCAAATAATTAGTCATTTGTTATTGGATTTTTCTCGTTCAGCTTTTCGTTATTTTCAATCACTATATCACTATTATTAAGTAGATCAATTATTAATTAAAACATTTAATAACATTAGTCAACTACCAGAAAAACTTCTATAACAAAATAATCTAACATTTCACATAATGGTTTCTAAAAAAATCCTCTCATATAAAGTTTTATTTACTTTACAATTGTCATAACAACTATATTTTTTCTAATGCTTAATTTAATAAAAACATTCTTCTGTGCATTAAGTAAAGCTTATAACTTATAAGTACAAATATTATACATTCCAATTGTACTTACACGGGAGAATTCCTGGTTAAGAGCAGAAATTAATTTTTTTAATGATAATTCTAAAAATATTAAGTAATTTAAAACATACAATTTATTATATTTAATTGGAAGGTAAATTGGAATAATTGGAAGGAGGCAATATTATTGTATAAAATGATAAGCAGCAGCATATTTGTCAAAAAGTAACTTTTAGTTTTTTCCAAGTCACTAATTAAATGCGACATTTTTTTATTTATTCAAGATGATGAAAAAGTGGTTTTACAGATTTAATTTTTATCCCAAGAAACTGATTAAAGGCATATAGTACATTACAAGACTTAAGACCTTAGAAATATTAAGCTGCCTGGTGTCCTGGGGAACGCAGACACAGAAACGCTTTGTTTTAATTACAGTGCTCTCTCCCTAATCCGAACTTCGGTAATCCAAACTGGACAAAAATTCAAAAAGAGAAAATTTTAAAGAAAAATGAAACATTTGTAAGGGGAAGGGGGACAAAATGAGTGAGATAGTGCATGAAAGAGAGAGAAAAAAAAGAATGAGTGAGTGAGGAAAGACCAAGACCAGCTAATGTATATGAATTTTGAGAATTTCTTTTGTTCAGTGAATCCCTCACCTTCTTTCACTACTAAAATGAAATGCTAGATCAGTCTAAATTTTTAAAAGTATTCTAAAATTATAATATAACCAACTGCTTAAAAATTAACGAAAAAGAGGATGAATCAATGAAGAATATTGTAAATAAATGGAATTTTTTTTTTAAATTGACACTATATAATGTATTACAATAGGTCTAATGCTTTATGTATGCAAATAATTAACTGTTGAGTTTTTTTTTGCACATATGTACATTTTTTAGAATCCGACCTGCAGCAATTAGTTCAGATTACTGAGCGAGCACTGTAGATGTTTTTCTAGAATAAAATCTGTTTAGTATGTTTTTATTTTTCATAATTTAAACAATCTTTATATATTATAAATAACAATACATAAACATTATACTTTCCCACCCTTGTTTTATAAAGCTGTATGAATAACAAAATGTGCTGCAAATTAATTAATTATAGTAACACTTTAACCCATTGACTGCGGGCCTGCATCGATACCCCATGCTAAATCAATTTAATACAATATTTTAAAATAACAACAGCCAAGTCAACATTTGTACTAGGCAAGAAAGAATGAATATCGACTGCAGCCAAGTTTATTAAAAATAATTTAATTAAAAAGAAATTAGATGTGGTCAGGAGATTATCAAATTCTAGGGATTATTTTCCAAGAAAACCTCGATAATAGAATTTAATAAATTATTTAAGAGGTGTTATTTTTTAATGTTTTATTATATTCGTTTTAACAGAACTGGTGTATATCAACTTATTTTAACCACAGAACATAAACCAAACAGAAGGTCGTAATACAAGATTTAAAAAGTTTATGAACTAAAAATAAGTACAAAAATATACACACTCAAAAATTATTACATTTTTAACAAAAGAGCCAATGTATTTATGTATGTACATCATACTACATACATCATAATATATACATATACTACATATAAATACATACACATATATATGTATGTATATATTTATACACAACAATATATATATTAATGTGTGTATGTGCAAGTTTATAAATAGAAAACAAACACACATACACGTGCACACTCAAATAAATTCTTATATTAGATTATCATATAATTTTTTTGTGAAGAGCTGATGTAAGTCAAATAAAATAAAATTTCAAGTCTTTCTCACTGAACTATTAGTCAAGCAATAACTTTAATAAAGGTTCATTACTTCCCCTGCAGGTTACATCACATTAGCTTCTGACCCATTAATTTTTATTTTTGTGATGCCAAGATACATCATCATATATATACATGCTGATTAAAGGGGTTCATGTGCACAATTTGAGTTTTTGAGACGAGTCCTATGACTTATCTGATAACAATCAATGCTCCCAAAATGTTTTAAACCTACTTATATTTATTTAATGGACAGGATATTTTATTTTAATGTTATTTTAAATTTTGATTTTTCATCTAATTACCAAATAAGGTATGAGGTATGCATTTTTTCCATTCTAATGATAAAACTTAAGACAAATACAAAGATGGTCTAAAAAAAGGGAGTAGTGCAATATAAAGGACTTAATTTGTTAAGTACTGACATCAAAAATAAGAATGGAAAATATTTAATAGCAATATTACTTAGGAGTTTTTAAATAAAGAAAAATAATACTTGGATAATACAGGCAAGCATACATGTTCACACATATCAACTCTTTTTGGCACATTAATAATTTAATAAAATACATTGGTATTCACAATTTCAGTTCAACACTCCTTTGCACCATAATTGCAATAACCATTGCTGTACCACAACAATAACCATGACTGTAGAAAATATGATGACATTGAGAAAAAAAGCCAAATTTTAATCCATATTACATTTGTTGAAAATAATAAATAATTTTGGTTTGAAAAATTATTGATTTATTTTTGCTATGGTAATTTACTTGTTTATGTTATTTTTATTTATTTTTAGTCCGCCTTTCTATAACTTTCCAAAACTAAAAAATTCCAGCAGTATTTGAATCAACAAAAGTGTACAGTGTTTAACTGGTAACTTATTGCACTATCCCATTAAATTCAAAATCAGTGATGATCATTTAGTGTAAAGTATGACCAAAAAGCTTTTAACAAAATCTTAACAGTATTGAGCATTAAAAAAAGTGCTTTACAACTGAATTAACAACCACAATGATCCACGAAAAATGCTCAATTTTTAATTACATAATTTTATTTATTTATTAAAAATCAGTGCCATTATAGATTAAATTACATGTTTTTGGAAATGTAAACAGCAACCAATTCAGTCAATTTTAACAGTTGAGTAGATTTTGCGAACAAACACTGCAGTTCCCATGTAGCCAACTGTTCCACACATTAGTCCTAAGGCAATTGAAAACAGTGCCATATATCCAAAGTAAAACGTAGTTTGAAACAGGCCATACATCCTAAAATTAAAATTTAAAATATTAATAAATATTGAACTATTGCCACAGAAAATATAACACATATTTGTAGTTTGGATGTTTCTGATTTGTAAATGATTACCTCAAAATGATCAGAAATGACCAAACTACTGGTTCATCACCTCAAAGACATCAAGAGGAAATCACAAAATAGTACATATTGCTTGATAATTATTCTTTGTCTTTTACTTCTATTTTACCGATCTGGTGTAGGTTTATTTTCATTAAGCGAGTGAATTTGTGCATGAATGAAATTTTATTTATGCATAGGTCATACCAAGATCACACATGGGCACCTTTAACGGGGGTGAGACTATGTAGATGCGCATTGAGTAGGGAAATTATCTTGGTAAAGCACATAATAACAGATTGCAAAGGGATATGTATGCAAAGAAAGAAATACATCCCGAATGAGCTATGCATACCCTTGGGGCACAAATTGCTTATTTAATATCTAATGGCCATAAATATTTTTAATTGTACATACAACTTTGTACCTTTATGTATGTTTTATTTATTGAAATGAATTTTTATTTGTGTGAAAGGAGAGGCTTATCCCCAATCACCCTAATGTTGGCGTAAATGTGCACCAGACTATCATGTTTTATTTTGTTTCTGCAGCATATTCTATGAACACTTGTAAACTAAATTAGAATAAATATAACCATAGAAGTAACAGATCCAAAAATGTAGCCTCCAGAAAAAGGACAATCACAAGGCACTTCTCAGATATTTGATAAATAAATAATGTAAAAATGTAATAATTATATTAATATTAAAAAAGTATAAATATAATGTCTTTCATATGTATATTATTGACATAATAAAAATGTCTGCTAAGTGGGTGGGCGCCCTAAAAATTGCATAAGAATCTGATAAATAGTTTCAGAGATATAGTTTTAAACGCGATTGTACGATTGCAACGACACATGCATAGGCGATACCATTGATACAATTATGATGAAAATCATAAGTGACTATCTGAAAACTAACTTGCATAATCCCTGCAAATTTCATCAAAATCCATAAAATGGTTTCAGAGGTACATCCGTGTACAGAATTTTACGTTTGCCCATGCACATTCCTGATTAGGATGAAATTCATAGGGTATCATCCAGAAAGCAACCTGCATAATCCCAGAAAATTTCATAAGAATCTGACCAATGTTTTGGAGATGTAGCTGTGTACGGGATTTTATGTTTGTGCATGTGCATGAGCATATGTTAATCTGATCTGGGATGAAATTCATAGAGGCCTATCTAGAAACCAATCCGCACAATCTGAAAATTAATAAACGTCTCAGGGTTTTAAAATTTTGCCGGTTACAAGGAATTGACCACAGATAAACTGACAAGCAAGGAAAAAAATTTGTTCAGAAAGGTCTGAAACTCAAAATGTAAGTGGAAATTTTGATTTTGGATGAGTACTCATTAATGGACAATGGAGGAATATAAGATTGTTCAGAAAGTTCTGAAATGCAAAATGTGAGTGGAAATTTTAATTTTGTAGGAGAAAAATTGACTCCCGCTTGAATACAAGGCTTCCTAACTCCAATAGTTTGGAAGCAATAAATATTTCCTGTAAAAGTTAAAAATATATAAAATCATTATGTAATTTCAAATGTGGTATCTCTTACTTTGTTTTAAAGAAAAAGTAGTAGAATGAGTACATGTATACATAACAAGCTGTTGACCCTGCGGCTAAGAAGCTTGTCCACTGCCTGTGAACATAAATAAATACATTTAATTACCTAGATTTTCTTCGTTTGATAAATTTGCATGATAAATGATTAATTTACTAATAAAAGGTACAATGGGGGAATAAAACCAGATATATTTAGTAAGATTTCAAATAAAAATAATGGACTATTGATAATTAATAGAATTTTACAACATACATATGTTGTTAAGAGTACAAAAGTAGTACTTACCACCTGTAATCCTCTGCATTTAGAAGGAAATATGTACAAACTATTGTTACACAGACTGTGACAACAACAAGGATAAGGAAGACAAGCAGCATAAATCCATAAACATAATATATTTTGTATGCCCAGAACGATGTGAATATGAAATACCTAAAATTAGAAAAAAACGTATTTTTGTAATAAGATTTAATTGTTTGTAAAATTATTTCATACATTTCAATAAAAATAGATCCAAATGGAAGAATCCCTCCAAGCAGTACAATGATAGTTGGTTCCATAAACCACTTCTTTTCTGGGATTGGCCTTGGAACTGCATTAACACGGCAGGGTGAATCGCTCTGGCCAGCCAAATTCCTGCCCAAGACTGTCCCGACCATTGTCAAAGGGAGAATTACAAATAGACAAATACATGTCACGGCCACCTTGATAAAATTGAAAAAATTAGACATTTAAAAAAATAATAGAATTTTCATAATAATATTTAAATAACCATAGTTCCAAAAGGAATGGCTCGAGATGCATGATAGTAAATTGCGATAAAGTTAATGAAAAATGCAGTTCCACAAACAAGTGCAGGGAGGAGGAAGGCTGAGAGAAGCATCTGCTTTATCCATCGTTTACCCCCAAGGCGTGCATAAAGCCCACCACCTGTATAGCCATTAACAGGTGAAGTTGCTGCATATACAAATATCGCTGTGCTCAACAATGAACCTCTCCTGGAATAGAAATATTTGAATCAAGTTCATAGTTAATTTATAAATTCCAAGTTGAAATTATTACTCTGTATACAGTTCTCCTACTATGGCAAACATTATGACAGCAAATGTGACAACTGTAATTTGATATCCAGCACCAATCATGGCAGAAAACATCATAGAATTGGTGGCAGGCCTGAATACATCTCCATGCACCTGCTTCCAACCATATTCGTCACCTAAGTCTTTCTCCTATTAAATAAACAAACAAATAATAATGTTTATTATATTTATATACATATAATCTTATTAATAAATCATAACTACACTGTCCCACATACAAGCACAGTTCATACAGGTTGAGGTGAATTTCTGTCCCTCTTATCTTTTTTTTTATTGGGGCATTTATGGGAAAATTTTATTTTTGTCTGGTTTCTTACGAAATCTAACTCCCTCAAATAGCAGGCAGTATGACTTCAACATAAAACTCCCGTTTATAACGATTTCCCGGAAATAACACTCTTTTTCTTGGGAACCATTCCTAGCAAGGAAATTCCATTGAAATTAATTTTACTTTTAATCCTAAAGTCTTGGTGAGATAAAAGTAATTAATTAAAATAATTAATCAGGTCAATTTTGACTATTAAATACATATAAGGATTCCATTGAAAGTTTATTCATTATAACACTCAGATTTCCCACTTATCCAATGAAAAGATTAAACGCATTTTTCTGATGACATTTTCCTTTTTTGCATAAAATATGAAAATTAATTTAAATTAAAACCAAGAAAGGAACATGTGCCATGATCTTCAGTGATATATTTCAATGCATTTTCTCTCTCCCCGCAAAATGTTTCTATGAATTCAATAAATTATGCATAATCCAAGTTTTAAGCCTTGAACTCCTGTTTAATGAACAAAAGAGCACCAAAAAAAAAAAAAAAAAAAAAGAAGAAGAAATATGAAACAGAATCATCCATAATACATATAACACAGCCGAAAATAATCAATGTTTTGGATGCATTAAAGACGATTTTCACTTATTTTTTTGTATGCGATGCCGAAGTAGAAGACAAGACTTTCCAAAATGTCAATCAATTAGAAAACATATTTTGAACAATCAAAAACAAATTTAGTTTGTTTTAAATGAAAAAGAATAGAATAATTTTTTGTTTTTAATGTGTTTCAGTAATTTTATATACACATGTATTTTAATTTGGAGACATATAAGCTCACACATTTTCCATTTCTAGCCGTTTTATTTTTCCCTTTAAATTGCACTCTTTAACTCTTTATTCAGTCCCTAGAAGAGTGTTAGAATTACGTTTTACTCTATATTGTTACATTTTCATTTAATTTCAATGAATTATCTAGCACCATATCGAAGATACTTTACAGATTATTTATTGAACATTTTGCCATTTTTTCAAACTGGAATATTTGGTACTTTTGCTGATGAAATTAACATGCACCATTTTTTAATGTTTATTTATATATCTGTGTGTTTATTTATAAATTTTATGATTTGCCATTTGTGACTGCCTTGTTGTCACATTTATTACACTTTTCTCTTACAATGAGTCAAACTGTTAAGATTGTATCAATTATCTGTCTACAGAAGAATATGTACACAACCATTACACAAGCAGTCCTTTGGGATAAAATCTACTTGCTCTTATTTCTAACAGCTTGAAATATTGGTTAAATTGCCTGAACGGACATAATGTTTTAGAAAGATAGAAAGAAATGAGTTCAACATATTGTACATTTAAGTTTTATCAAACAACATAGTTTAATAGTTTGTTTTTCCTCATTGCTTTTTCCATATGGCTGATTTACCATGTACTTTGTCTAACATTGAATGCCAATTGATGATCTGTTATTACATGTTTTTCTTCTATGAAAGAGTTTAGAATTTTGAGTACTTTTGACAAGGAAGATAAGTTTTGTTGTTGCAATAAAGAGCAATGTGGGTTTGGTAGGTTTTGGTAAGTTTTATTGGTTTCTCAAGGTTTTTTATTATTATCTTTATGACCTGTCAGGTGCAGGAGACATGTGTACCCAACTGTTTTATTAATTTTTTATACTGGTCTATCAATTCTAGAATTTTTTGCTAATCTTTTAGCAAATTATTAATTTCTTTAATCAAAATTCTGACCTTGATTGATATTTTTGTATAACACTTTTTATTATTCTTTTCTGTACTTTCTGCATTCTCTTTCAATGAGCCAATTTTGTCCAACTTGATTGTTCATTTAAATCATTAGACTTACTTAATCATTACACAGGTTAAACGCCTATTTTAAATAAATAAAATTTGTTTTAAACTTAGTTGGTTCATTGTGATTCTCTAATTTCTCTAATTGATTCGATTAGTATTAGTGTGAAATCTCACCATATCATCGAGATCATCATCTTTGCTATACCTCGCGTAATCTTTCCGAAGTGTCCTCATTAAGATCATTGACACTAAGCCAACGAGGAATATTACCATCATAAAACTGTTGAAAATGCTAAACCAGTGAATCTGTAACAGAATTTATGTATAATCAGTTTCATCAAAAAAAATTATATGAATTTTACCCTGTGTTGAAAAAAGTTCGGATCGAGATACTTGTCAAATCTGTCCTCAAATTTAACGTTAGAACTGATCCAGTTGACCTCATAAGTGAACTTCAGCCTTGCTCCCACAACCAGCTTAACTTTGTTATCTGAAGTTAGATTTACATCAACTATGTGTTTTCCATTGTAGCCAATGTCGAACTTTTTATGAGTCCAAATGTAATAGGAGTACGAATTTACTTTATCTTCCTCTATGTCTCCAACAATACCTAAATATAAATAAAAATACATCCGTGTTCGTGTATAGTATGTACAAAGATCCCAAAGGTGGATCCACATTGGGCGAGCATGACGAACGAGCTTACATGGACGTTCGCAAACCTCGCCACACACACTGGCAAGCATTTGTTACAGTTGTTAGTCAAGGTTACTTGTTCCCACTGTGAGCTTGGCTCCTGTTTTATCAAAAATTGTTCTTTCTTCTGAATTCTTTCTTAAGAGAAGGTAAAAAAAAAGAGTCCTTGGTTTGAGTGGAACCATACAGCTCAATAAGCTGAACAATTTTTTGCTGTCCCACTCTATTTCAATATTTTACTACCTTTTGGCTTAAGAAATAAGCAGACACTAAGATCAAATCAAAGCCAAAAGGAAAATCTTAGAATTCTATAAAACTTAAGTATTTCTAGGATCCAAGAATTTCTGTAATAATTTTATGGGAAAGCATCTAAAGTAAGAAATAAATAAATAATAATAATAATAGAATAAATTTAAAAAAAGAAATAAAAAAAGTATTTACAGAAATATTTGAGCAACTTCATAGTGTGGAATTTTGAGAAAATTTTTCTATAGGATTTCTATAAAACTTTCTGTAATAATTTTATGGGAAAGCATCTAAAGTAAGAAATAAATAATAATAATAATAGAATAAATGTAAAAAAATAAGAAATAAAAAGAAGTATTTACGGTAATATTTGAGCAACTTCATAGTGTGGAATTTTAAGAAAAGTTTGGACAACTATCATCAATTCCATAAAAAAACATACATGTATATATTTTGTTAAATCGCCATATATTTTCCATATTAGCCAGAAGAAATGATGCTTATACTTTTATAATTTATACTTTTTTTTTGGGGGGTGGGAGGTGAAAAAAAGGACTGGAGCTATGGTGCAAATCGACCGTGAGGCTTCTCGCTAACCACTCAGCTGCCACATTATCAATAAATAAATAAGTTTATGGTTAATAAATAAAAAAAAATTTATTGATAAAAATATCACAATTTTTAAATTGGCTGTCTTTTTTAAGTGCCAATCGTGAGAAAAAACAGGTCTCAAGGCAATGTTTTTAGTGAGGTTTGTATGAATGTTCGGAATTTTGTCCATACCGAATGATCAATAAACGACGAACACTCTTTGATGTACTGACTCAGATTGGGAACAACTGCGAGAATGAACAAACATTCACAAATGCTTGTAAATATGTCCACACTGGACGAGCAGATCATTTGGGAATGTTAACGAATGCTCTGCTCGCCCAGTGTGTATGCAGCTTAAGGAGTCACTAAAGTATCATATTTCATGTCCATTGTTCAAAAAAATTTACATATAACTCTGACTGGTGGTGACTTCTGTATGTTATAATCCTCATATAATATAAATATATTATATATCACAAGGGCTACTTTGCTGTTTTGTTACACTAGTCACCACCTGTCAGCATAAATGTGTTTCTATAAACAGATATGTAAATTAAATTGCAGGACTTAATAGAACAAACATATATTCAATAAACCTATAATTATATCCAGGGATTGAGTGATTTAAAAAATTATATCTAAAGCCAGTTCACACCTGTAAAAATTTGTGCCAAACCCAATATGTACCAAATACGAATACAATGTAAATGATCATACATGTAATTTATCCTGCTTCAACATACATGCACTGGAATATATGGTTTTGGGGTACTACTATTATTAGTGTGAATTAACTCCTAGTTTAACCCCTAGTCTGTACCATGTGACTTATTTGGCACTAATGAAAGTGAAAAAACTTGAATTTGATCTACATGTTATTTTATATTTGAACTAAGACTTTTTTATGTTTAGAGAAAGACTTCAGATCCCAAGCTTTAGCACTACAAGATTAAACAATAGCAATGGTTAAAATATTTATTGTATCCTTGACTGATAAACAGAATGAAAAATGAAATTTATTTCTACTTGTAACGTAATGTCAGCTATTATGAGCAATTTTATCTAATGAATCTTTTCAGGTGTTACTAAATTTGGGACAAAGAAAAAGAGATTTAGCGTATCAGGAGAAATCCATGTGGAACAGCACATACTTTTTTTTTTAATGTCAGGTTATTGTCACCAATAGTACACATTTGGGAAATAGTATGTAATTTGTATAGATGTGGACCAGGCTTAAGAATGAACAAAGATTTAAATTCAAAACTGTTAATTTTATAAAGTAATAAAAATCCAGATTCTTACCCCATATTGGCAAATCATCAATATACATTTGGTACCAATAATGATTTTTGACTGCATAAACAAATGCTTTGTGCTTTGCTTCATCAAGAAGTACTTCACAGTACATTGTCTCAGATATTGCAGCTGAAAAATAACATTTTTACATTACAATTATAAGCTATATTTGTTTTAATGCTTGAAAAAGTACAACGATTAAAAAATAAATAAGACACAATGGTATAATAAAATTCTGTGTATTTTTAAAAATATTATATTAAATGATTAAAAATTGCAATTATTGAATATTTGAAGCTATTCCTCAAAATAATGATATTTTTTAATGTTGTCTGCGGAGTGATAAACTTGTAATTTCATTGTTACCAATCATCCTGGTCTGGCAATCCTCAAAAAATAATCAATTTTCAATCAGTTAAATCCACCTATGTGCAGAAATTCGAACCCTCTCTGGTATGAAGTTAAATTTTTAGAAGTAAAAGTGGACTATACTTGAATTTTAGGACCATGAAAAGATATATGTAGACTGAATAAAGTAATATAAATGATGGGGTGAGTGTGGAGTTCAATCCTTTTTAAAAAAGATGGTTCCTACTCACATTAATTATTAATGTGAGTAGGAACCATCTTTTTTAAAAAGGATTGAATAAAGTAATGGTATATATGCTAGATAATAAAATTCAAATTCAAATTCATTAATTTTTAGTGGTCCTGTCATGAAATATGTAGTCTTGCATTGTGGCAATTTTGCAAACATATCTGTGCTTGTCCAAGTTGGGGGTATTGAAAAACTACAGACAAAAGTAGAAAGGATCCTTTGTAGTACCCAGGCATGCCTGAACATCATGAGAGCAATGAAATGTACCGACCCTGGAGAGATAACTAAACAGACCTTCACATTTTCTTCCTTGGAGAAGACCAGTTGGACACATATAGTACTAAAAGTACAAGTGCAAGCCACCTCCATAATGCTAAACAACTAAAATTGAAAGGTCCTTTGAAAAGTTGTAAATTGGATTGTCTGTGGCTGCCGTAATTCTTAAATGTAACATCTAAAAGAAATATTAAATTATATCAACTGAGAAAGCCTACCAGTGAATGCTAACTCTATTTGGGGCACAGACGGAACCTGATATGGGAGGAAATGTAGGGTTAACATACCAATTTCGGTTGGAAAATTTGCCATGGTATTACAGTTTATAGCAGAAGAGATAAAAAGGCTGAGAACAGAGGATAAAAAATTTAACCATCATTTGATAGCCAAAGCCTTGTAAAAAAGTATAATCCATTGTTTTGCCATATTAGGATTGTTGAAAAGTTCCACTGTACATCATAATCGACGTTTGTGGGATGTAAAGAAAATTAGTAATTCCTGTCTTACTACCCTTCAGGTGTTGAACCCCTGGGATACCGGTGTTTTTGGGAGAGAGGAAGGGGAAAAAACTTGTCAGATTGGAATTCAGGGCTGTTAAGATTCAAACCGAGAACCCTTTCAGAAATAAGTTGTTGTGATAACACATTAACCATTATAGCCAGTGATGCACATACAATTATTTTTTAAATAATTACTTAACAGACAAAACACCTATAAATATTTTGTTCATAATATATAATTGAAAACATAACATTAGAAATATTCAGAAAGGGTTCTCTATAATTAATAATATATAATTTCCTTTGTATATGCATTTTTTAGCAATGCAAAAGAAACAAAATTTGATCAGCAAATCTAAGCTTCTATGGGGTGTCCCAGTTCCTTCTGACGAAACTCAGGGAATCGATTCTATTCTTCGTTTGGAGCAAAAAATGCCCAGGAGAAAATTTTCGGAAAGTTCTCTATTTTGAAGATATTCGTCAATTTAGGTTTTTTCAACTTTTCACTACCTTACCACACAAAAACGCTTACAACTTCCAAAATGTTGAGACTACAACAAATCCAATTACACCATTTGAAAGAACACTAAATTTGCTGTAAGATACTTCTATTTGCCTATCTATTAAAATGTTAGCCAATATGAGTTGGAACATGTCAAAAATTACACAATTCAAAATTTTGGTCATGATTGCACGTTCTACTGAGGTTAAAAAAAAAATACCTACAACTTGTCAAATTTCACAAAAACTTCTTCATCTAATATGCTTTACGTTGATATATCAAGGTTTTTGTCATTCAGATTATTGGAAATAGAAGTATCTTACAGCAAATTTAGCGTTCTTTCAAATGGTGTAATTGGATTCGTTGTAGTCTCAACATTTTGGAAGTTGTAAGCGTTTTTATGTGGTAAGGTAGTGAAAAGTTGAAAAAACCTAAATTGACGAATATCTTCAAGATAGAGAACTTTCCAAAAAATTTCTCCTGGGCATTTTATGCTCCAAATGAAGAGTAGAATCGATTCCCTGTGTTTCGTCAGAAGGAACTGGGACACCCTGTATAAGGATAAGGTCATACCGGAGGTGTCTCGCTTGGCGCCTAGTTACCTGATTACTCGCCTGGTACCTAGTACCTAAATGCTTACTGGCCACACAAAAGCATCAAATCTTGTCGATACAAACCTTTTTACAGAAAATATTTCTTTGAAAAATGAATTATTTAAGAAGGCCCCTTCTTACTGAGCGCGCCATATTAATTGTAACAGAAGTGAAAATGGTAAATTCATCGTATTGTACAAACAACTTTGGAAGTATAAGGACAAGTTTATCAGATATGACAATCTCATATAAATTACAAAAACAAGTACTGATTACAGAGCAAGAAAAATATTTTTGCAGTGGTGGCCGACTAGCACCCTGCATGAGCAGTCTCAAAAATGTTCTAGGTGGATGTTCACAAGGATGTATCACAAGCGCCTTTGACAGAAAATGTTTCTTTAAAAAATGAATTATTTAGGAAGGCTCTTTCATATTGAGTGCACCATGTTAATTGTAAGAGAAGTGAAAATAATAAATTCATCGTGTAGTACAAACAACTTCGGAAGTATGAGGACAAGTTTATCAGATATATCAATCTCTTATAAATTACAAATACAAGTACTAATTACAGAGCAAGAAAAATATTTTTAAAAAACACTAGGCAACATATGAAGAAAAATCGATTCAACTAGAGACCAACTGACTCACGCGGCCGATTAGCACCCTGTGTCACCGGTCTCAAAAATCTTCTAGGTGGATGTTCACAAGACGAGCGAGTCTTCAGGTAAATAAATGCCAAACAAGACACCTCCGGTGTGGCCATAGCCTAAACACTTTTCTGCGGCATAGAACATCTATCAAGCAATCCATATTTTCTTTCAAAGCTGCAAGTTGGTCGTTCAATCTTCCAGAACAGAAGAATTAACAATTTTATACCAGGGCAAACCCTCCCCAGCATACTACCCACAAAACAACATATTGTACATAAATTTTCCCCCTGTGCTTAGAAGCAATTTTAATTTTCATAAATACAATAAAAACAATTTATTGTAACTTGTCAACGGTGTGAAAAAATTGAGAGTAACTGGTACCACAGGAAAATTGTGGATAAATCACCCATATTGTATTTTTTGGTCTACGAACAGACAGGTAAAACAGAGAAACACTTGTAAAAGGTGGTCCATTAATTTCTAGTAAAATAGAGAAGTGTAGTGTCTAAACTTTATATTTTGCTTCTATAAAATTGTGAACAATCTGTAAATAAATTGTAAAAGAGAGAGTGGTGAAGATTTACAGTCGAACTAAGGCAGAATTGTCGTGCAATGTTGAAATCTGGCAGGGAGACTATGCAGGCAACTTATGGTCATGTTACCTTTGAATTCTATGTCAAGTCCGCTGAAATCAAGCTCTACGCCTTGCAGAGCCTCTCCTAGGGTTTCGTGGTAGTGACTGATAGCGTCCTTTGTCCCTTTACAGAAGGGAAGAGAGAAATAGGTATAGGTCTCCTGTCGATTGTGGTAAGGGCCGACCGTGTTCATCCACAGCACCACCTCGTCATTCTGTTCGTACTGGAAAAATATTCGTCAACCAAAATTCTTAACTTCGACTGCTAAAGACCTACCGTGTGCGTATGCTCATCCCCGCAGACGACGTACAGCAGAGAGAGGAGCAGTAACAAATTCCTGCTCCGGGAAATCATAATGTGCTACGCTGGCGTCCGAGAGTTTGTACTCGGTATTCTTCTTCTTTTAAAAGGCGATCATCGTCAATAGACTAAATGAAAATAGCCAACTCCGAGAATTAACGTACACAGTAAACACGCCGATTATAAAATGATAACTGAATGAATTAACATCAACCACGAAATCCGGTTAACTGGGCAATCAGTGATGTCGGCACTAGGCGCATAGTACGAAAATATCAAGACGTAAATCGGACAAAAATCCCTTTTTATCTCAATCTTCTAATATCGACGAACAACCAAAACTGAAAAAAGTCCATGTAAGGAGTGTAAGTACTGTAAGTATATTTCATTCGAGATATACCGGCGGCCTATATAATAACTCGCGTCAGTGGGGGGGGGGGGTGCAGTCCGGCATTTTGCTACGTCCAATTACTCAAACTCTTATGTTCAGTTAAACAATCAATTAATGCTCTCCTTACTCATTTTGATGCGTGACTTAATTTTAACTTATTTAATAAATAGATTTATATATAGTGAGATTATTTGTAGACCTGTCAAAGGCGTTTGACGTCCAGCATGTACTCCTCAATCCTCATGAACAAGCAGATGGGATCTGGGGTATCTGCTTAGATTGGTTTCGTTCTTACCGAACAGATATATGTTGAAAATGCTGGTGTTACATCAACATGAACGTATGTGGTGTTTAGTGACCATTAGTTAATGATTATTTAAAGATGTAAGATGCAATCTGGTGTGATGTGGGTTTAGAAAAACTTTTTCTTTATTGTGCCAACGTTTCGACCTTTATTGAGATCATCTTCATGGCCTGGGATTTATAATTGTTTAAATTATACTCTATACATGTAAGAGGTGAAAATGTATAATTTGTATAATTTAAACAATGTTTATAAAACCCAGGCCCTGAAGATGATCTCAATAAAGATCGAAACGTTGGCAGGATAAACAAAATGTTTTTCTAAACCCACATCACTCCTGACCGCATCTCGCGATCTCTAAATAATTTAGTTTTCATTAATGATTTTATAGCTACAGATCCCCATTGTTATATTATAATTTATGTTGAATATTACTGAATTAGTAATAGCTGATACGTTTGAAGAATTTCTGAGTAGACTGAAATCAACCATAGGCTACATATTAAAATGTACCAACGATAAAAGCTTAAAAACAAATAAAGGAAATCGGTTTATGTATATAATAAACCATTGTGGTTGGCTGTCTTAAAAAAAATAATAATAATAATGCTCAAGGGAAAAATATCCCGTCTGTTGGCAGCTCTGGAGTGCGAACGGTACCATCTTGACGCAAACAATACAGTATAATTCTGGTTAGTCAGAGGTCGACGACGCATAGTCCGAGTCAGTTTCACCGAGTCTGTTTCCAACCAGCCATATTCCCATCCTCAGTCTTCAAGTACCAGCCGGGAAAATAAGTCCAATCTTGAAGTTGTCGAAGTGCATATTTATCTTCAACTTCCCGTGATGTGATATGGAATCCAACTTTGATGTGAGTAGTCTTCTGGTTATTGATGAAAAATACGTTTTCTTCCCGTTCGTTTGACTCGCGTCCTGCAAATCTAAACGTAAACAATCGTCAAAAGATCACTAATTCAATATTATAAAACATTTTTGTTCCAACTTCATAAAAAAAAATCCGAACACGGGCCAAACGGTCAGTCTTATTTTGTCATCGCTTGTCGATAAAGTTCATGTCCAATGTTTTTTTTTTGCCTTTAAATTCTTTACTTTATTTTTAAACACAATAGTTCTGCAGATTAACATAGGTAGTGACTACAGAAATATGTATTATTTTCGTCGTTTTTTTTAAAAGATATTTTTAATGCCTATTTGCACGTGGTAAGCTTGTCCTACGTTATTATAAATGTTTTTATTTAAATGCATTTAAACCGCCATAGTGATATTTGAGCCTCAACATCGAGTATAAAAATTCGTAGAATGCCACGAAATGCATTTGAATCGAAACTTTTATATCACTTAAACCACATGACCTATTTAATAATTTATCCATGCTGTTAAGTTTAATAATTTCGAAATGTAATTCGAATTGATATTTGGTTATAAATCTACGCATTGGTTTTGGATTTTGACCATTGTTTTCATCCGGTACGATTTGTTTTTCTTTTAGTATCGCAATTTAGTCTTTGTTTTTGTCAGTAAAGAATTTTTTTTTTGTGCAGTGGGGCGTTATCGATGGTTGCTGCCCATTTGCAGTCCATATTAACATATTTTTTAAACACAGTGAGTAACTGACAATAAAAACATCAATAACAAAGATATGTATAGAAAATAACACACAAGAATTAACAGTATTATCTCAAATGAGTAACTACATATGCCAAGTCCAACACAATTTTTTAATCTTGTTGTTACAAATTTTCGTCTGTGATTAAAATAATCAAGTATTTTTGTTATTACGTGGATTTTTGTGCGTATAAATCGCAATTTAGATTAGAAATAATTTTCATTTAATATCGAAATGTTATTTAAAGGTATATTTTCGAATCTTTTTGGTCCGCCTATATTCGCTGTTTTCGCCTGACGTTTCTGCCTTTCCACCAAGTTCTACAGGATCATCATTTTCAAATACTTAAAAAAAGAAATTCAGTGTCTTCCAAGTTTAATATTTCGAATTAGTCAGTAGTCTCAACGGTAGTTGGTATATCTTAAACCGAGTGTAGCAAAAATAATAAAAATATTAAGAATAGTTAGTTGATTAGCCGTTGTTTCAAACGACATATTAGATGGCGACATTTGACACTTAACTTGATCCATATTCCATTTTAGCTTGTTAAACAATGATATTCGTTCTTACTAAATACAGTAAAAACTATAAGAACCGGAAACAAATGACACATTATTTGGAGAAGAGAGAGAGAGAGTAAGTTGGTAAGTGATAGGAAGAGAGAAGGGGTGGGGTGAGTGTGTGAGAGAGAAGGGGCAAGTCGGTGAGTAAGAGAGAATGAGCAAGTGGGCGAATGAGAGAGTGTAAGAGAGAGGGGGCGAGAAAGAATGAGTGAGATGATGAGAGAGAGGGAGAATGAGTGGGTGAGTGAGTGTAAGAAAGAGAAGGAGTGGGAGAGAGGGAGAGGGAGAATGAGCGAATGGGAAGTGAGAGTAAGAGAGAGGGAAAGAGTGAGTGAGAATAAGAGAGAGGGAGTGTGAGTGAATGATTCATGAGAATTTCTTTTGTTCGATGAATTCTCTCAGAACATATACATTTTCTTTTGTTCAGTATAATATACTACTTAAAAATGAGTGACAAAGAGAAAGAAGTAATAGAATATGTTAAACAGTTAAAACAATAAAATGTAACTTAAAAAAAAAACTCAAATCACAACAATGCATTACAAATATTTACTTAGGATAAAATTCAATTTTTACACCAGTAACAATTAAGTAAATTAACTTTAATACAGAATGAAAGGAGTGGCTTTATTCATTTTGAATTTTGACCATAATTCGATCAGTATACATTTTAGAAAGCATATTTCTATACAACAACAGAATTTCTTGTGTTCGATGAATTCCTCACTTAGATTAGTCTACATTTTCTTCAATTAAGTTAATATGCCTATTGCTTAAAAATGGGAAAAAAGAGGAAGAAGAAATGAACAAAATTATAAATAAAATTTTTAATAAACTGATTTTTTAAAGGGAAATTAACAGTATATATGTTTAGTAATAGATTAGGGATATGGAATAAAATAAAGTGTTGTGTTGAATTGACGACCTGTTCTATTCTCGTTCGTTTATTTGTGTTCTATAATAATCAAGTTGAGCCGTGTCATGCTTTGGCTCCATTTGTTTGTTTGTTATTGTTTACAGCCATCAAAATCTGTGTTGTATGTGTGAGTGTATTTATTAGAGTGAATGGGGAGGGGATGATGGTGGTATAGCATCCTCCATGTACTAACTAGAATGAATGTACATAGGTTTGAATATATTTATTTGTGTGAATGCGTATTGATGAATGTGTGTTGCAATATTACGCATACGCTCGGGGTTGATGCCCCTTTAAAAAAAAATAAAATAAAAAAATAAAGAATTGACGATCTGATCTGTTCTCTTTAGTTTATTTGTGTTCTATCTGAAATCTACAACCGATTTCAAATAAACGAGTTATTTCGGCTGACGGAATGGAATAATTGCAAGCTGTAAATATATTTTTTTTTTGTATTATATTGTACCTACATTTAGGAAATAAAATATTATTATTATTAAACGAGTTATTGGACGGTTGCTTTATTATTTTTAAGAATACATCAAGCAGAGTTGCATTTCCCATCTTTACAAATGTATTTCTCTTATAATTTTCTTCGCCACATATCGACTTATTTGTTAATTATGAAATGAAATTTTTCAAAGGTTGAATATCAATAAAGCTTTTAGTCCTGTTATTAGCATTCAACTTTAGATAATTTAGTTCCCCCACAAAAGTACAACGAACTTAGAAAAACGTAAATTAAATTTTTGTTTTATAAAAGTATTCCTGTACGCTAAGAGTTCATTTGGTAGTTTATCATATCATATAATTTTTTTACACAATTATTTCGGTTGAAAGAACTTCGTTATCAAAGTTAAAGAACATATATTGCAAGTTTCAATTTCACTATTACGCAATGTAAATAGGGAATTGTTTCATGTTTCATATCTCTTAACAATTTTTTTTCTTTTTTTATACAATAACAGTAATTATTGTATTGGCTATATGAGAAGAAATAAATGGCACTCCTACTGGTGTGTATTGTATATGTATATCTAGCACCTAGTAGTAGGTAATAGTCGAACACGAATGTTCCTGAAACCGGTTTCTGTTCGACGGCTTTAGATTTGACGTTGATCAAGGTCAAAGAAACGTTAACGTACGACGGACGCCGTCGTACACCTGCCATCGTACTTTTTCCCTTTATGCAGTGTCTTGTTTGTTTGTACGTTGAAAATGGAATTGGAAAATTTTCAAACTGCACTCTTCGGAGGGGGGCGAAATTTTGAGAAAACAGTTTTATGAAATGCTTATCCTATATATATTCTAAAATGTATACTGATCGACTATGTGGTCAAAATTCAAAATGAACAAAGCCACTCCTTTCAATACATAAAGGAGATAATAGTTTTTAACTTGAGATTTCAACTTCTAAAAGGACGGTTATGCCATTATCCATCCATATCTAATCATTGCAGGGGGTATTCTGATTACAGAGGGTGGTAAAAAAATACGTACACATGAAAAAAAAAGTTTCAACACAACACTATTATTATAGCCTACACAAACCGTTAAACCTATTAGTACACACATATACTGTCAATTTCTCCTTTTAAAAAATCTGTTTATTAAAAATTTTACTTATCATTTTCTTCATTTCGTCTTCCTCATTTCACTAATTTTTAAGCACTAGGTATATTAATAGAAGAAAAAAAATTAAACGGATCTGAGTGTGGTGGGATTCATAAAACAAAAGAAATTATATTATTATATAGAAATATACATTATAAATTATTATTTGGAGATAGTGAGGTGCGGTCTGGTGTGACGTAGGTTTTAGAAAAACATTTTCTTTATCATGCCAAAGTTTCGATCTTTATTGAGATCATCTTCAGGGCTCAAAGTGTTTGTTTTTCGTGTAGATGTGACATTCTTGTGTGACGTGTGAGAGTCATATAAAATGTATACTGATCGAATTATGGTCAAAATTCAAAATGAACAAAGCCACTCCCTTCATTTTGTAATAAGAATTAATTAATTTGTTATTGGTGTAAAGATTGAGTTTTATCCTAAATAAATATTTGCAATCTTTATTGTGAATATTCTGATTTGAGTTATTTGGCTTTAACAGAGTGTTACTCGTTTATATCTCCTGTTTACACTTTAACTATGTCAGCATTAAATATTCTGCTAAACCGTGTACAGTTAACAGAGCTTGGTAAACAAATATTTGTAATTCATTTGTGCAATTAACGTTAGTATTTAGTGAATCGAACCCTAAGAAATACAAAATACGTAAAAGCCTTTTTAACCGAAACTATTTCAGTAAAAAAAAAATATATAAAGACAAAATCTGTGAATATAAGGAAGGACAGTACTGACGTACGACCTGCCTAGCGACCAACCACCTGGCACCGATGCGTCAAATGCTTATAGCAGCATGTAAACGTTGTGAAGAGAAAATACAAAAGAAAATTACATACTTTTTTAAGTGATTCTATTTTAATATAGGTTATAGTATACTGTACTTCACATTTGTATGAAAAATACATGGATCATTCGGTTTTAATTGGAATTTGTTTTAATACTTAACTATGCCTCTGTGCATTATCAGAACCTCTTTACATGCTACTTGTATCTTTACATCGAATCATGATTTTCTCTACGCAAGCACGGGCGATTTTTCATAAATAAAGCTTGCGTAAACACTACAAAGCAATGAGTCAGCGTCCCCGGGCGATTTCGAACGGATGATTGTCCCACATCCATGGAATCGTGGACAAACACATATAGAATTCTCACAAATAATTAATTTTCACCTATCTCTTGAACCTCGCTTAAACTTAGTTGCACAATCTTTTGCATCTACACTATGGAATTGTGTTTACAGACAACAACAAAATTTTTTTAACTTTTTCCTTTTTTCCTCCTAACTTTTTCTTATCCGGAAGACGATTTGCAGGCGATAGTTTCGTCAACCGATAAAAAAAACTTAAACTTATCGAAATCGTCCGTACTCATTAGCTGTGACTCATTAGTTCCGGCTCTATTTCTAAAAATCCTCAGTGCGCGCATACACTGAGGCCTGAGCATCGTATCCAAAGCTGATCAGTCATCAGATGACAGATACTATTTTTGATTTTAGAATATCATCCGTTTTTAGTGATATTTTCAATTGCTTAGGGTTATCACTATACCAGACCATACCAAGGTCTTGGTTGAGATGAAAAAGTCAGTGTCATGAGCGGGATTCGAACCCACGACCTTCGGTTCGTAAAAAAATTGTATTTTTCAGTACTTCGTGTTATTGTGTATATTTTTTTACTACGTTTTTAGTACTGAAAAGCACTGCAGAATTATTCCTTAATTTTTACTTTTTGTAAATTTGACAGATTTGTTGTTTACAATCAGTAGTTTTAAACAACAAATCTATGAGTAGAACTATCATTTACAAAAGGTGAATGTACATTTTCTACCTTTATCATTTCTAATTTTTCTTAATTGTCCAAATTTTATTAACGATATACGGAATTAGAACAGCGCAAGCATTTGCCACTTTTTATGCCATGAGGAAAGAAATTTCAGGAGTTGTGGACCTTACTATTTTAAAATGCAAGGACAGATTCACTGATTCATATCGGATTTGTTGCCACGCGAGGGTGAAGTTCTGTCATACGGTCAGTTTATTTTATAGCCCAGAAAATAAAAAAAACGACCGCGTAGTTTTGCCATCCCTTGGTGGGATTTTCACCAAAAACCAATATGCTGAAGCATACAAGCAGCTGAAACCATGCAAGATGAAAGTTTTAACTCGGACTTGCGTTTTGTTGATAGAGTGCGATGGGATGGAACTTCAGGAGAAAAAATAGTTTTTCTTTCTCCAGAAGGAGAACCGCCAGGTCATCAAAACATCGTTGTGCACTATCGTCAAGCCGTCAAATTTAATTTCTTTTACGCGTTAAGCCCTCGTTTTGTTTCAATGGTACCACTGATCTATCCCTTTGGTGAGCCATGGTCCAAAATGACCCTCATGAGAAAACAAAACCGTTTGAGTTACTTAATGTTACAATTTGCTTGCTATTCACATTCCGTTTTCGTACGTTCATAAATCATATCGTATGATTTTGACTATAGAATGGGGTTATTGCCCCAGCAGACCACTAGTTTGATACAATCTTTAAGGTACGCTTTTTTTCGGAAAAAATTTCAACTACAAGCAGCTTTCACTATTTATATGAAGACTTTGTTCCACTCTAACGTTACACTTTACGTTTACTTTTAATCTCAACAATAAATATATAAATATAAAATATTTACATATATTTTATATAAATATAAATAAAAATTTAAAAATAACATTAAAAAACAAAATAAAGATAATGGACTTTGTAAATGGTTGACTCACATTTAAATTTAAAAATTTAATTAAATTTAAATCTTCTCAGCTTTTGTTGTTAGAGTCGGCTAAAATCTTATCGACTTGAAATTTTATCATTGTATGGCGCTGACTCGGAAGTGTAATATTTTAATAGCAAAATACTCTACGAAGACCTTGACCCAAGAACAAATAAAGCAAAACTGGACTCTTCTGCTAAGAAATTGCAATGAATTTATCGGAAAACAACCAAGTATCTCGGGGCCTTGAAGTCAAGGTTTATGCAGCTTTGCACCGATAGAAATTATTTGTATGTATTTGTCTGCGTTTATTCGCCACTAGATGACGTGACTAGAATCGCCATAACTTCGAAGTCTTATTAGTCTATTAATCAATTAAATTATGGATAAGGCAACGCGTAACAAATAATGAAGAAAAATTCTAAAAGTAAACCAGATGTTGATCTATCGATTTATTTATAAAGAAAACGGCGAATTCATTTCAAAATGGAACATTTGACCTGGGATCACAGATTTTAATGAAACTTTTTTGGTGATACATACTAGGTCGACTATTAGACACATTTGCTAGCGTTCTCACGGTAAATCTACGCCATCTTAAAGCAAATAAACCATTAAACTTTATTTTTATATTTCCCGTTCCTTCGTTATCGTCCATAATTATTAACTTTCTTTCTAATATTAGTAACTGTGCCCATTGAATAAACCCCGAATCTCAAATCCAGAAAAACCCCATTCTGGACTTTCTTTGAGTCAAATAAAACCGCCTATGATCAAACGCAATTTCCCAGATTTACCGCGTTCCCCACCTTGTCATAATCGAAAAACAGCAGAATACAAATTCACGTTTCACAACAATTACACACAAAACAAACATGACACTACAATAGCACCACTTTTATTTACATCTGTATTCTACAATTATGTTTTGCAATTCACCCAGGTCCTGAGGATGACCCGAATAAAGGTCGAAACGTAGGCAAAAAATGAAAAATATTTTTTCTAAAATACTTCATTTCTGACCTTCGTACTTCAACAAATTATTGAACAACCGGTCGCTTAATAACTCACACTTACAAGGAGATGCAGGAATTTTAGAGCATACACTTGCTACTTCACATCCCAGCTTGCAGCAATCAACATACACATCATACATACTGATTTTTATTCAAAGCTAAATCGAAACGTAGTCTCAAACATTTTAAAGCAACAGAACTTACAATGAAAAAAATAAAACAAAATAAAAAATCACACAATAAAAGCCAAATATTTTCCTGTTCAAGTCCACCCCATTTTAATGCGATTGACACAAAAGGTTTCCTTCAATGGGTTTAAAACTTATGTTTAAACAGTGTCAGACCTTAAGATTGCCACATGAAACTCTCTTGCCTATGCCCATTTCTTCATTCAACACAATGTCACATTCTCTGCCACATGGAATGATCTATACTGGCTGACATGATTGGTTTAATTTCAGGAATCATTTACAATGGACAAAACTCCCTTCAAAGCGATAAACATCCAAAAAAATGTCTGTGACATTCGAACATCCTTTGAAGGCTCTGTGCACGGGGGCAATTATGAATTTGAGGATTACCATAGCAGGACCGTTTACAGCAATAGTTATGATGGTGATGATGAGGTAAGTACTGCAATTTGACTTGTTTTAATTTTTTTTCTATTGATGAGTTGTAATCATATGTTAACAAATTGGATTTTTAAAATCACCAAATTTAACAAAATGGAGTACAAATAGCCCATTGCTTCCGGTGTGCTAAGAGACAAATCATATAAAAACCCTAGATATTTCAAAAATTACATGCATTTATGCAAAAAAATAATTCTTAGGCCATAATTGTGGCTATCAAACATTAAATTCTAGTTCATCTTCTTAAATAAATTTAAAAACTTCGACATTTTTAATTTAATGATAAGATTTTTTTATCAGAACTTGAATTTTAATTACAACATTATCTAAAAATAAATATTGATTTGTAAAAAGTATTTGTCATCCCTGAAATTACACTTCAAACTTTCCCCGCCCAATCTTATATGTTATATGTGCAATCAAGCATTCAATGGCATCAGTGGCCTCAACAGTTTAGATGTTGACACAACACACACCTCTGTAAGGTAAAGGTCCCGGATTCGAATCCAGTAGCGCTGCATTCTAACCCGACATACTAACAAATGGGCTTTTTTCAAAAACACCGGCACCCCAAGTGTTGATATAAATAAATAAAGCCAAGTGGGTAAATGTGAATATAATGGTTTATTGCTTTTTAACAGGTGTTTTTAGAAACTGAAGAAACAACTGAAACCAATGTCAGGATAAAACGGGAGCCGAGACCACGGCGCATTTCAGATGTCATTGATTCCATCGGTGATTGCAGCCCTTTGAAAGACTCTCACTTCACATTCCCAGATTTTAGTGAAGGAACAAGTGATTACTCACAGAATACCTTCACTACTTCAAGGTATACCAAATATGTATATATTCAAAATTTAATGAATACAAATAACTTAAAACAGATTAACACACAAAAACATTAAAAATACCGCCATCTGGTCTGCAACACTCACCATGTAGTTGGACATTTAACTATGTTTAGATTATGAAATTTAACTGTGTTTGGTCATTCAACAAATTCATAAAATCAAATGTTAAAATTATAAATTTTAAAAATTGTATTTTTGTGATTTTTAAACGTAATTTTTATTATTAGATTTCAATCTCCACCAGTCACTCCAGGTTCTGATGTTGGCTACTACAGCACAGGATTATCGACACCGCCTTCAATTCTGAATTATAAGATGATGTGGTCAAGGACAGATACTCATGTGTCAGATGTTCAAAAGACAGATGAACTGGATGGGCCAAATAGAGATGACACTGATGCTAAAGTATCCGGCGTGTATCCTAACAAGTACGTTTATATAATGTAACACTAGCTTTTTATTAGGTTTCGTGGTCCACTAGACCAAATAAATTCTTTTCAATTAATTAAGGTTTTGGTTGAGATAAATTGAAAAATGGCAAAAAGGAGGGAAAATTAAAAAAAGGTGGGGTTGAGATGGATGGGAAGTTAATCTCCGAGTGGATCAGAGTCACGATAATTCAAGTGGTAGAGCAGCGGTGTATTTAGCCGAAGGTCGTGAGTTCGAATCCCGCTTGTGACGCTAACTTTTTTATCTCAACCAAAACCTTAATTAATTGAAAACTAACACTAACCATACTCCGGCTTCCCTCGGGGAGTATGAAAATTTGAATAATTGTTAGTTCTACAGAAACCTTAGTTATTGATTTCATTCACTAGTTTCGTGGTCCGCTTGACCAAGTAATATCTTATAGTTTATCTCAACTTAAAACCTTAATTAATTGTAACTTATTTATTGATTTGTATTATTTTTATTTTTACAATGCTTATGAATATATCCCATTTTTTGTTTTGTCTCTGTCTGATATCAAAATAAATTTATTATCTAAACTTCTAGTTCTTAGAAACAGACATATAATTGTCGTGTGAGAAACATTCTTCCCACATATTTATATGGTTGTCCTTAATCGTGTAGATAGTTTAATAGGGAATACAAATAATTATCTCAATTTAAAGCAGATTGAGAAATCACGGCATCTGCATTATGTAGGCATTTTCCCAATTCTCATCATCTTCTTAAAGATGGCATTCTTTGCAAGCTGCTTGATAAGTTTCCTTTACTTCATTTATTGTTCGCCAATACCAAAAAGTAGGCCCATGAACCCGCTGTAAGAGTGCATTCTGAGTTAGAAACACTCTGATTGATTTGGGTAAACGTTATATACTCTTCCAAGTGCGTTGCCTTTTTTTATGTTGGGATATTCGTCTACATCCTGTCCTCACTTCCTTCAGGAAATTTTTTTATTAGCCCAGTACATTGTGGTGTTTCATCACTTATATAAATCAAAGAAAGCTGTGAGTGTTGTTTCAGATGGGTTTTCTATAATTGGTTACAAGTTCTCAGTTGTAAACAAATTCTGTCCATTTTCCAAGTGAATTTATAATTGGACTTCAGTTCGGTACCTTTCGTGAATAGAAAATTCTAGCAATCTCCAAATAGCTTCAGAGGTGGTAATGTAGCAACCATTTAAGTAATTTTCTACTTAATTGTGATTGCTATAAAGAGAAAAAGTAGCTTGGTATAAACCGTTAGATGAGAATAAAAAAAAAGATTGAATAGACAAAATAAGTACGAAAGAATTTAAATTATTAAATTAAATATTAAAAATTTTAGTTGTCATAAAATTAAAATTTTTAAACATTCATCCACTGTCTATGTCTGCACATGCTTATCCTACCTTTCTCATCAAGTATCACAGCAGTGGGTTGGAGCAGTTATGCTGAACTGCTTTGCCTTGCAGTTTGCAAGTAACATACAAAATTTCATATCTTTATTTGGTACTGCAAAAATGACAAAATGTGTTATGTCCTTCCTATGAACATAAAAAGAATTTGATCAAAATTAATCCAGTAGATTTTACATACTGTTACATACAAACACACTTCCTCTCTTTATTATATTAGTATAGATAATAATAAACAGTTTATTGTTAACTAATGAAATATTTTAGGGTACATAACCATGCTGTAAGTGCTAAGATGCCTGTACGACGAGATAGCTGTGAATACAACATGAATCATCCACATCGTGGTAGTGCTATAATCTTTAATAATGAAAATTTCAAAAACAGCACGATGCAACCACGCAAAGGATCTGACATTGATGTGAGCAAACTTAACGAAATGCTAAACATTCTTGGCTTCCAAGTGACAATTCATGATGATCTTGGGTACAATGAAATACAATCTGAGATTGATAAGCGTAGGTTTTATTAATTTATTTTTATTTGCTTCCTTTTTTTTTTTTTTTTTTGACTTACTTTTAGTTATATTTAGTTCACTTTATTATATAATTTTATTAATTTTACTTTTAGTTCTATTTTTACTGATAACAGCAGCAACCCTCTCATAATACATAAATATATTTCATATATGAAGTATAATATCAAAATCCAATAATCATTAATTATTAGATTAGATTTATGAAACGATAGAATGATGTGCATCATTAAGGTTGTCACTTACCCACTGAGGATGGGTTATGGGGGTACCTACATACATGTAAGCTATTTCAGCCAAGTACATTATTAATCCCTGCCTCTGCCTTACTATCATGAGATTACTCATTTTCAATTATCGTTATTGTCCCTAGTAGGTAAATTTTTTTCCTAATTTTGGATTTTATCCTGGCTAAATTCATTATAGTGTATAGTACAAAAACATGTGAGGTATGTGAACCTTGCTTCAAGACACCACCTCAACTTAAATATTAATTAATTTATTTTTTATTAATTTATTTGTACATTATGTTATGTTTTTTACATTTGTAAATAATAATAACAAATATTTTAATTGGTTTTACTGCAAAACTTCTATTATTTGACTTGCCAGAGTTAACTTGTGATAATAATTTAACATTTTTGAGAGGCCAATTTGGTACATAAATAAAAGCTAATTTTCAAAAACCCGAAAGTACTAGCGTGTACATGTCATAAAGAATAGAAATCAGTCATTAAAAGAATGGTTGGTTTGTGGAACATACTTCCCAGAAAAACTTGTAAGGCAAGGGGTTAACTAGATACTGATAAATTACAATAAATACATTCACTCCAATTTTATTTAATTAATTAATATATAATTATTTGAATTTGGATTAATACATACTCAAATCTGCACATGAATGTACAATGTACACACATGTAGAGTTGTGCCTATCACTTCTCGCAGTCCACCGGCAATTACAGGTTTTGTAATTTACAATAAATTACTGGCAGATCTTGAGAATAATCCATTTCGGGTGTTCAGTCCAGGGTCAGACCTCGGTCTTGTCTATCCTACCACTGAGCTAGATCACTTAAGCACCCAATGCCCACAGTTCCTAGATCCAAACCCATTCACAGACACACTATACATTTTTTACTATTTCACTCGAATTCCTTTATCATCTTATACCTATCACCATATAACTAACTTAAATGAGAGGTGGATGGGGTACTTAATATTCTGCCATAAGTCCTCCTCTTTCACCACTCATTCACGCCAATAAGTACATTCACTCTTAACATACATTAAAACAACCTTCTAAAAATCAGAACATGGGACCCACAAGTCTCATATCTGGTGGCATTCTTACACCCTCAGTGGAGCCAAGAAATGGCATTCTTCAATTATATGGGGCTTTTTTTTACAAGCGCTTTGGCCTAAAAGTAAGTGTCAACTACACATGGCCAATTAATTCTAAATTGTGTTTAGGATGACACTCTTAACCAGTCTGATCCTCCGAGGGCCACCTATTGACCTCTTGATAAGCGAGAGCTTCATTGGTCCATCAGTGCTGCCACTTTCTTTTAATCATGTTCTTTATTACTTCACAGGGTTACTTATTTTATATATAGGTATTATTATTATTATGTCATGAATTTATTGAAATAATTTTTATTTTTTGTACAGTTGTTGAACAGGATTTTTCTCAATGTGATTGTCTACTTGTTGCTGTGCTAACACATGGAAGAATAAATAACTATTTACATTCAAAAGACCATCTCTATCCTGTAGACATGATCTGGAAACCATTTTCTTCCGATAATTGTCCTACCCTTGCAGGCAAACCAAAAATTTTTTTAATCCAGGTAAAAATTAATTTTGTTTAAATGAATTTCTTTCAAAACTAACAATATAGAAACTTTCATAAAAATTTACTGAAATTCATGTGCAAATAAATAAATTTATTGTAAACCAACAAGTAAAATTTCAACAATAATAAAAAAATACTAAACAATAAAAAAACTTTAACACTGATATTCAAATATACAACAGACTCTCGTTATCCACAGGGGTACATACCAAGCATCACTATGGATAACGAGAACCGTGGATAATAGGAAACACATTGAATTACAGGCTTTGAAGTATTTTCTTCTACCTGCATACCAATCAGACACTTTCTGTATCACATGTGTTTTGGTGTGAGTTATACTATACACTTTTTTTGTGAAAAATTACTACATCAATAACACATTAACTTCCCAATTCACTTAACGCACAAGGACTTGTTGAATTGAAGTATAATTGTTAATTGTGTTAAGTGAATTGAGAAGAATTGTTATTAATGTAATAATTTTTCAAAAGTAAAAACAAAAAAGAACAATCAGGAAAAATCGCTGAAGATGTTTATAATTTAAACGAAAAGCTTCTGAAAATAAGCTCAACTTTGCTGGAACTAAAGACGTTTCTCCTCTATTTTACCTATGATGGAATTCCAACGCAAAAATACTTCAACCTTCATGAAAATTTAAGATTGAGGGCAACCGCGTATGAGTGAAAGCACAGATAACAAGAGCCTACTGTAATCAGTTATATTTTCATAATTAAATAACTCTTAGATAGTTTTATTATTGTAATTATTTATACAATAAAATAACATAAAAAATTCTATAAAATAAATAAATTAGTTTTAAAATAATAAATGTGTTTTTTAGGCTTGCAAAGGGGACCAAACAGATCCTGGTACACAATTGATAAGCTACAATTCTACTGAAACTGATTCTTCTGACTCTTACACCATTCCAACAATGGCTGATTTTCTTATTGCTTACAGTACTGTCGAAGGTAGAAACAATTTTTTTTTTTTTTTAATAAATAATTAACCTGAGGGGCTGTGCTGGTTGAGTGGTTAAGGCGTCCCACTTGTATTTGCCAAATTTGCGGTCCAAGGTTCAAATCCTGGCACAACCCATGGTTTTTTAATTGAGAGTAGTATGAAAGTATTGTAAAGTGCTTTGACACCTCATTAGGAATTACTTTGCTTTACTTTTAATTAAATTAATCACTCGATCTTTCTGCTTAGTCTGTCCATTTTCATTGGTTTAGATTTCACTAAAATAGGTTTCGGTTTTACGTTTTGTTCAATGTGGAATGAAGGAGCAAGCTGAAACGCGTTTTGAGTGGAATCTAAATCCACAAGAATGGACAGACAGAACAGTGATCAATTGCCGATCAGTTTATATATTTTCACCGACTCACAGATCGACAACCACTTTATATTTTAATTGTTAATATTTCAGGGTATTTCTCCTGGCGTAATCCAGAAAATGGTACATGGTTCATTAGATCTCTGTGTGATGTGTTCATCAAAAACTTCGAAACAATGGATCTACTCAAGATGTTGACAATAGTCGGACGTCGGGTTGCAATTGATTTTGAGTCGTACAATGATATCAACCCGACTTACAGTGGCCTAAAGCAAGTCCCAAGCATTTTCTCAACACTCATTCGTGATGTTTATTTTAGGCCTAAATCCAACTTATGCTAAAAATATGTAAAAGCATTCCAAGTATTTTGATATTACCAAAATGAATATTGCCTGGTATTTTACCATATGTCTTTCATGTTAACATCTCTGGTCTGTTTTAAATTTTATTAAAAATGAAAAAAAGTAGTACTTTTCTGTAATTAATAAAAGGAATCAAATGGTTTTTAATTATAATTTTTAATTGTAGTTTATTTTCATGAGTTTAGTTTATATAAAAGTTTGCGTTACTCAATAATGAATAGCATATTATTTTGAAAACATTTATTATAGATTTATAGAATAGTTTGTAGTAATTGCTTTGTGTTTTTAAGTAACTTTGATCTCTTGTGTAACTAGTGCAACAGAGCATTCTGTGATTGGAAAGCAACTATAATGGATAAGAATATTTGTCACAATTCATTTTATTGCAAGCAATTGAATTGTACTGACATCATTAATTGATCTCTAATTATTTTGATTGTTGATTTTGATTTTGTAGTTGAAGTTTTGTTGATTTAGATATTAAATTGTGCCTGAGGACTTTTGAAATACTATAAGGATAATGGTGGTTTTTTTTATAAATTAGTCAATTCATGTTTAAAAGATAAAAATTATCGTTGATGTGTTCAATACCCAGCCCAACTTGTCTTTCTCATACACAAACATTGAAAATACGTTTAATTTTCAAAAAACAAATATATTAACAAATTGATTGTGTATTTTATTTGATAAGTTTTTGTATACTTTTTGTACTAATAATTTTGTATAAGAAAAAATCAAAATGCATACAATGCTGAGACCATTTTTCCTTTCATAAATAAATTTATTATTTCTATTGTAGCTCAATTTTTTGTCTTTTAAATTTATTCATTATGTAAACATCATTTGATGAAATATACTTCATTTTTATCTTTACAATTGAGTATTATTTAATTAGTTTTTAAGATTTATAATAATCTTTAGGTGTTAATGATATTGTCATGAGGAGCGGTCAGGAATGGAGTATTTTCGAAAAACACCTTTTTCATATTTTTGCCGATGTTTTGACCTTTATTTGGGTCGTCTTCAGTGTATAAAGTGTGAGCTATACTTGTGGCATTTTATTTGTTTGGTGTGAAATTGTCTCAAAACTTTTTCTCTCACAAGTCTTGCCATATAGAAATAAAGGTCGAAACATCAGCAAAAAATGAAAAAGGTGTTTTTCTAAAATACTTCATTCCTGACCGCACCTCATGACTTCAACAAATTATTGAACAACTGGTCATTAAGAAACACATGCTTTAGATGTTAGTTGATTTTTTTAATTATTAGATGTAGCCTTTATGTTTGCTATTAGATTTGTATTAAAAGACAATGAACACGACCCCTGGGAATACGCTTCAAGGAAGCCGTATGGAGGACAGGTATGACATTGGGGATGGTACTCGAGCTGGGCAGCTGGCTTACTGTGCCCTGGGTTTTTCTGACCATCTCGTCCGGGACAATCTCACTGTGATAGCCAAATTGTCTACTCCACTATGCCTTTACCGAAGTAGGTTCTTGGAACTGAAATTGAGGTACCTAAAAATATGTTTGGAGGGTAAAGAAAAGGCGGGTGAGGTAGCTAAGAATAGGACATCCCAACCACCGTACTTAACCACATGATTAGCCCTCTGATGCTAAAAATGCATTATAACCATGATAAGTTATGAACATTCTGGATCAAGGTATGGCCTTGAAGAAAAAACAAATTCAGTTGTTACTAACAAGTTTTCGACATATAATAAGGTCATCAGGGCACAACAAACTTAAATATATCTACAGATTGACATTTAAGTTTTTTTCAGGTGATCTCGTATTTCCTTAAAGACCAACTCTGTCCTAAAATTGTCAAGGACTGTGGAAGATAGGACTGAGCGGTCTCTCAAGTTGAAATAGGTCCTGTATTTATTCGATTTTATTCCAATTAGTCTAAATTATTAAATAAATTTTTACTTCCAAACCATTTATATTAAATTTAAATTTTCCGTTCGTGCATGAAATGAACCTCATGTAAAACAACACAACAAAATAAAATGTGTTAATATCACTTTATTAATATTTTGTATTTTGTGATTGAACAACAAGGCAACAATTCTATTGTGGAATTTCAGAAATAAGTCTCAGAGATGCAAAACAACTAAACAACCTTACTTTTATTTGTAACAAAAGCTAAACATTTTTTTTATTTATCTGTAAGTTTATATGTACCATAGGAAGCATGTAATTTAGCAAAAACAAGTAAATATAATGCATGGGAAAAAAGTTGTTAACTATCTGTTAAAAGTTTTACAATTTGTTCAGACTATCCTCTGACATTAAGGCCATGCATAATTCACTTTTCTCATTTAACTAAAAAGTGTTATTTATTTACAATTTAATTTTGTGGAGAAAAGTTTTCTACTTTGAAATATACGTATATACATAATATATGAAGTTAATATCTATAAAAATAGGTAACATTATTTATGAAAAATACAGTACCTTAATGGATTAGTGTAAAGTTAGTGTTAAAAAATATTGGTTTATAAAACAAAAAATGAAAAAGAGTTTAGTTTTAAGTAATTTAGATAACAGTACATGTTAATGCATAAAATGAAACCCTCCTGTCTAATTAAATCACTTCCTTAAAATAAACAAAAAATAAATGTAATTATTATATAATAAAATAATTATATCTTACAATAATTATTAAATTTATGCATTAGATGGAATGTTACAAATATCCAGAAATAAAACGCAAAATAAATTGTGAGTATCCTATGAATTTATGGGAATTTGTTAAACAGAATACAAGATTATTTATACAAAAATATCTTTAGCTCAGCCGAGATTAATCATAGGCCAAGAGATTTTGTAAAGCTTTTAACTCGAAGCCACAGTTTTTGCTGGTGATGTTAGTAAGATCTTGACAAAGATAAAAAGAGGGTATTCAAATTCTGAATCAAATGAGAGTAGTTTTGTCTCCTGGCTCCTTGTAAGAGAAAGGTTTATTATATCAGTCTTCATAAGTTTCTTCACTTGGCGCTGCTCATCGAACGTCAACAAATCGAGTCTGCAATTTAATTATATTTCATGTAAGAATAGAGATCAGCTTGTCAACTACTGTTATTTTTATTGTTCAATAACATTTTTTTTAATTAAATGTCTTACCTCACTAATATATTGTGAGAATTATCAACAAGGGTGTAATCAAGGTATGTACGCTGTCTTCTGACTAGAATTGAGTTATCTACAATAGACCAGACTAGATCAACACCAAAGCTGAACCAGTTCCACCTCCATGACCTGTTGTCTCCAGAATGGATTTCTCGCCCACATCTGATACTGTTCATGTTAAAGAATTCTTCATCTACAGATGTCGGTCTAAAACCAATTTTAAAAATAAATTAATTGTCGTAACAAAAACTGTAATTAATTACAACAATAACCCAGAAAAAGTTTTATGGGCAAGTTCTTACTACGAAATGACAAAAGTTCATTTTTGTGAACCAGGAGTCAAAACAAAGGCCCAAAACTACCAAAGTGGCATAGATGGTGTAAAATCAAATCTGATGAGGTTAACAATGAGTATATCAAAAAAATTAGTCTTCAGCACACAAGGCTCAGACCACACAAGAGTTGTTGAGAGAGCCATTCTACCACCACCATCTCTAATAATTCTCTCAGTTGATAAACTGTGTACGTTTGGTTAAGATTACACTTGGCCAATAGATCGCATGCTGTAAAATTGGAAGTCCAAGAAATTTCCTCTAGTTTCATAGGGTTCAGATCTTGGACCTTTTCTGCTGGCGCTCCATTAATAAAAAGGTTTCTCAATATAAACATTAGTATAGTAAAATAATCCAATTTCATCACAGTATTGGTGGGACCAAAAAGTAATGTCGTTTCTGCCCATGTCAATATCCGTTTGTAATTTATCAGCTCATTGTGTACATCAGTCGCGCAAATATTTTTAAGGTTTACTTGTTTACTCGTAAAAAATTAAATCTCAATTTTTTTACAATTTATGGTGATATGGCCAGCTAAATACCAGAAGAGGTATATATCAAGCACTGTATGCTTTTTGAGTTTCACTTATTCACTTTAGTAATGCTACAGTTGCTACCAAAATCATTCACAATGTTTATCCAAGTGCTTTAGACATTCGTAAATACCAAAGGTTGTTTTCTATTCAAATCCGGTAATTTTGAACTTTTCGACTCGTATCGATCGGTAAGACCAACAACTTGAGGCAATGACATGTTAAGGGCAAAAGTGGAAGCAAATCGTGTCAGACAATTGAGGAACTGTCAAACGTTCTTAACCAACCTTGCTTGACCATCCAAGAACATTTTCATCAGATTGGTAAAGTAAGCAGAGCAGGTGTTTGGGTCCCGTTTAATCGTCTGAAGAAAACAAAGCTAACCAGTCCACCACATTGTACTTATTGCTTCAATGTCACAATATAGAAATGTTTTTGATCGATTGATCAAAGGAGATGAAAAATTCGTTCTCTATGATAATCTAAACCACAGAAGTCAGTGGCTCTTTACAAATGAATCGCCACAGAGTACAGTTAAACCAGGTTTACACCCGAAAAGGTATTTTTGTTTGTTTGGTAGAGCTTTCACGGGGTAGTTCGTTTTTGAAGTGCTGAAACCAGGACAAACTGTGAATGCAGATCTTTACTGCAAAAAATCAGATAGAGTAAATCAATCGTTAATTGAAAATTGCCCACCGATTGTCAACAGAAAAGGCGTTATTCTGCAACAAGATAATGCAAGACCGTACTGCACGAGATAAACCCTGGAAAAAATTAATGAATTGGGGCAGGAAGTAGAGCCTCACCCTTTCATTTATTACAATCGCTACATTTTCTAAATGGCAAAAAATTTGAAAATTTGGATGATGTATAAAAAGCCATCGCTAGATATTTTACTCAAAAATCAATTGGTTTTTATCGATCTGTCATTGAAAATTTACACACTACATGGCAAAACATTGGTGATAACGAGGGTGATTACATCACTGATTAAAAATAAAAACTTGTAAAAAATTTATCAGTTCGAATGTAATGTAAAAAAATGACATTACTTTCCAGTACCCCCAATAGCTTCTTTATGAATTAAAGACTTGTGGTATTTTTTTGTTGAAGTCGTGAAGAGTGATCAGAAATAAAGTATTTTAGAAAAACACCTTTTTCATTTTTTTACCGACGTTTCAACCTTTATTTGTGTCATCTTCAAGGCATAAAGTGTGGTGCTATTCTTATGGCGTGATAATGTTTTGTGTAAAATTGTTGTGAAACTTGTATTTGTTCATGAATGATCTAAATCATTTACGTTTTTGCCATTACAGTGCTTTCTCTCTCTCCCTAATCCAAACTTCGGTATTCTGAACATTCTAGTAAACCGGACTGGAAAATGACATGACAGCTATGAAATTTAACTTCGATGGCTGAATAGATGATCAGGTCTTAACCTGAATGGCATATTAACTATATTAACAAATTGAGGTCATTTCAAAGACTAGGTTGTTTGATGATGACGGGAGCATTTTCAACTACAACCACCCTAGCACTTGAGATTATAATCAATACTACACCTCTACACATAGAGGCTAATGTCAGAGCACTAACCAGCTGTTATAGAGTAATTAGTGAAGGCAGTTGGAACCATAAGGGAAACAACATAGGTCACTCAAAAATCCTACAATTATTGAGTAAGGTCAACGGCCAACTATTAAGCGTTAGTGATAAAAAGGTTAAAACCCCTTCAGGGAAAAAATAATACTCCACATGAATATAACTACAGCGCGGTTGATGACCATCGAAACATAGACTGTTTCACCGATGGTTCACTTATTAAAGGCAAGGGAAGCAGTGCTGGAATACATATACCTAAATTAGGGATCAGCATCTCCTCCCCTCTTGGTAATAACACCCCCGTTTTTCAGGCAGAAATATGGGCAATTAATGTTTGCTGCAGAACACTTATAGATAATAAAATCAAGGGAAAAGATATTAGAATTTTTTCTGACAGTCAGGCCAGTTTTAGGTCATTACAAAAAGAGTTATCAACATCTAGGCTGGTGGAGGAAACTGTTGAACTTATTAATAGGATCACTTCTAGGTATGAGAATAGGGTAACCCTCATTTGGATACCAGCACATAAAGGACACGATGGCAATGAAGAGGCGGATAGCCTGGCCAAAGAAGGCTCAAATACTGCGTCTGTCGGGCCATAACCGGTATTACCCCACTCTATAAGCACAGCAAATGAGAGTACTATAATAGCTGGGGCATGAAACAATTCCTTAAGAGATAAAGATTGGAATCTGTCCCCCGGACATAGGCAATCGAAGGAGTTTGTGAAGGAGATCAAACCAAAAGAATTGAAAGGGCTATTCTCTAACTCAAGGAAGGGAATTAGGAGGCTGATAGGTAACCTGACGGGCCATTGCCCTTTGAGAAGACACCTCTTCGTAATGGGTATTTTACCAGACCCCTTCTGTCGTTTTTATGAAATAAAAGAAGAAACAGCACGGCACTACATCGCCGTGTGATAGGTTCGCCAGGTATAGATACGAAACTTTTGAAGGAGAGGACATTACCAAGGAGATAAAATGGTCCAAAATCTTTGGGTTTGTAAACAAGTCCAAGACAGCAGGACACGTGAACCGACCAAGTCCCGGACCCTTTAGGGATGGGGTACGAGTCTACCCAGGCATTTAACCCCTCGGGACTTGGTCGCCCGCCCTGCGTAATATATAAACCTGAATGGCCAAAAACATAAGATTTGACAGCTTGCCGAGATTTAATACAATAGCACGTAACAGAATTTTATAGTAGTAACAATGTACCCTTTGTCTGATCCTGATAAAACACGAAGAAGATTGACCCACTGTGTTTTATAAGCCTCAAGCATCCAAGCTTCAGGAATTATCTTGTCCTTTGAGATATTTAAGAGGTCTTTAACATGGAGTAAGAGATGGCCTAAACGCAAACGCCTGAAAATAGGCTCAAATTCCCTGCCAGTTTCACTCATCAAAAATGGTACATCTCCTGAAAAAAAAATTAAAAAATAAATAAAAAATTAAAAATCTTCGTAAACATTATTTTACATACCTTCACCATTGCAAAAGAAAGGTTCTGGCTCTTTGCTGCAGTCAGATGTGTCCATGTCGACATTTAATCTGTTATACATCCATCTTCTCAGCAAAGAATACAATGTCATCTCTGTTTGGATGACACAAAGGTCAGGGTTGGACAAAATCACATTCATCAACTCCACACTTAAAATGCAATAAATTTATATGCTTACAAAAACTCAATTTCTTTTTACTCACTCGATTTCCTTCAGTCTAGCTGGATTTTTGTAATAATAATCAGTAAGGTTAACCGAAAACCAATCAATCACTTTTGATTTAACTTTCTGAGCACCATATCGACATGAGGCATGATAATACTGAACAACAGTCTGAAGCAAAAAATAAAAATTTTACACATTATTATTAGTATATATAAAAAAATGGTAGCGTCTTACAATTGGAGAAATTGTTTCCAGCATGATCTCGTAGCATTGTTCTATAAGTCCTTCAAGTTGAAACATAGTAGATGCTGCCAGCACACCCACAACTACCCTTGGCTCTACTATGATCTCATCTTGGTAAAATGACCCAAAAACAGCAGCAAGAGCTAAAGTATGAAATTAATTAAACAAATATTACAACTCGAGTGAACTTGAAAAGTTATATAATTAAATCATATATGCATTTAGTAGCCATAATTGACAGTATTATTTTAATTATTATACTTTTAATCTAAGGTCTTTGTTGAGATGAAAAAAGCAAGTGTCACAAACTGGATTCGAACCCATGACCTTTGGCTCAACATGCCCTAACCTTTAAAATATGACAAAAAGAAAGGAAATTTGAAAGGTTGTGGGTCGTGATGAGGAGTTAGTGTCTGAGTGGATCGCAACACGATAACTGAAGTGGTTAGAGCAGCAGTGTATTGAGATAAAGGTCATAGGTTCGAATCTTGCTACTAGCTTTTTCATCCCAACCATCTTAGACTAAAAGTATAGTTATGCAAATAGTTTATCTGATTTTGAGGATGGGTTGAGGAGGGGTAGGAAGTATATATAAAATAAAACCATAATAAGTCATGTAAGCCAATTTCTTTTTTTTAAACAAATTACCTTCTTCTGTGATATTTGGATCTTCGACTTTGATGCTTATGTATGACTTTTTTGATTCATTCCAAGAACCAGAGAACATACTGTTAAAATATTGACTCTGAAAATTACAAATAATAAAAAAAGGTCGATGCTATCGAACGAAATTTTATAAAAACTACACATTTTCTCCCTAGTACAACATATTTATGATACAATGTTTTCTCAATGTAGTAGAATAACATACAGTGGCCATAGTTGGACATGGATGAATGTGACCCACAGGCCAAATTACAATACATACTTCATAGCTTTCTATAAAGGCTGATTATGTTAGTTATGAAAACAAGTAGAAATCACCTGCCCCAAATATATTTTATGCAGTTTCCAGTCTTTGTCAAGAATATTGACTGTTATGTCACTGTCTTTCCCTTCAACATACAACGCCTGGAAAATGTAGTGTGCGGTGCAGGTCAGTTTCCGCCTGGACAGACAAAGTCATTAGGTTTTCTCATAAACGATAAACATTTGAACCGATTTTCAAACCTTTTGGGTGAATGAAGAGAATCGATGAGGTGTGACTCTTCAATGTCAATAGCATCCTTTTTTCTCTTTTCTCTGTGTCTAATGTACGAATTGGACACTGTCCGAATTACACCTTCTGGACAATAATCAATCACCGCACTCCATAAATTTCCCATTTTTAGAGCAAACACATTTGATCAAGTGGAATCCCTAATTAATCGTTGTGACAAGTTTGTGCCCATGTTTTAGCAAATCAATCTCGGGTTAGGATTGTTTCTGCAGCTTTTAGTGTTGTCCAATTGATCATTAGCAAGAACTCAATAACAAAAAATATTTTAAAAATAATAGAAAAGACTAAATCTGTGAAAAGACTGACTACTTTTTATGAAGCGCGTGTGTGTTAATATAAACAGTATAAAAAGTATAAACAAACATCAGCTGTGACCCAAATTTTTGACAGGAACGTAGGTTCCTCCAGGTCGAAGACGATGGCACTGACCATGTTACGTGCCACTACAGTACGGCACTCATGGGCGTAATAGTTACGTACCATCAATACGTATCAAAAAACTTGGACTAGTCAAAACTCTTATTTTACCGTTTTATACTGCAGTACTGTCTACTCTTTTTCACTTAATCACACTCCTATTTTTTTTTAAATTGAATAATTTTTAATAATTTCACAAGACTTGTATTGAGTTTAGGAAGAGAAGAGCACATCTCAACACATGGCATGTTCATTATGGGTATTAATTTGATTACATTAAACTCCGATCTCTTATTTACTTATTTAAAAATAAGCTCTACCCTTCATACTTATTCATTACATTCGATTTTAATTCTTCCCGTAGTTTAAATATTATAAAAAGCTTGCATCATAGATCTAAATCTATGAAGGAATCGTTGAGTGATGCTGAGGTGCGTCTGTGGAATTTCCTTCCGTGGCATATTAGGTCGCCTTTTAGCTTTCAACTTTTTTGCCAATAAACCTTTTTTTGATCAACTAACACATGATTTTGTTGCTATTCTCTTTTTCTCTCTCTTTTGTACTTTTCTTTTAAACCTATTTCTCTCCTTCAATTCAACTATATATGTTAATACTAGTTTTTACCCGCGACTTCGTCCACGCGGTCTTCTGTTTCATTGTACCTTTCTAATGCGATGAAGCGTTCTAGTACGGCTTTCTAATATAATGTCTCGTTTTTTCAAATTTTTCCCATCTTCAGTTTACATCGTTCTATACGTGGTAAAAATTGTCATATGACCCCCTTAGGGATGGAATTTCACAAAATCCTTTATTAGCGGCCATCCATGTCATTCTAGGAATGCACTGTCAAATTTCAGCATTTTAGATCCAGCGGTTTGGTCTGTCAGTCAGTCACGAACTGTTTTATATATATTGGGATAGAATTTCAAAAAATCCTTTATTAGCTGATCCATGTTATTTATTATAGGAATATACCAAAGATGACCTCAACAAAGATCAAAACATTGGCACTACAAAGAAAATGCTTTTTCAAAACCTACATCAGTGGATAAATTCTAGCGGCGCTAGACACAGTAAACTTATGATGAAACAACCCTCACCAAGTCAAAATCACTGCTGCAATTGGAGAGGGCTAAACTTAGAAGAGTGGTCGCTGGCATCTGAGAAAACATCTACACAACATGGGCATATACAACGATGATCCCATCTGCAGATTATGTAATGAGGAGGAGGAAACAGCCATTCATATCATCTTGGAATGTGAAGCAACAGCTCAATGGAGATTTACCCTAACATATGAAAAAAATCTTGGGAATGAAATCGTAACAGTGAGAGTCAATGTCCTGATACTTCTAAGAAGAAGGATTGAGTCTATTACACTGAACTAAGGAACTAGGAAGGTACAATAAGCCAGAAGGAACCTACACCACACCAGACCTCATCTCTAAGTAAGCACTGTCGAAATTTGAGCTCTTAAGATTCAGCGGATTGGTCTGTGCGTTGTCTGTCAGTCAGATCATACATTTTTTGTTTGTTAATTATTTGTTTTTAATTACTATTTCCTGCATTTTTTGTTATTTAATTATTTTATATTTTTATACTCACTGTAAAAAGGCAACCCCTATTGTGAAAATATTTTTGAGAAGTATATTTATATTGAAAAAATAAATTTTAAAATTATTCATATTTTTATTGTTATGCTATTGTTGTTACGTTGATCTTGATACGTTGGCTCATCACGGGTTAAGGTCCCGGGTTCGAATCCAGTGGCCCATTTGGCTTATTTTAAAAACACTGGAGGATTCATAAAACTAGGGTTTGAAATACCCTCTTTAAAAAAGGAAACATTCCCTTTCTGCTTCTCTTCTTGGTCACACATGATCTGATACCAGTAGTATCAGTACATCACTGAACGACAACCTAAAGGAGGCAATAGAGAGTTATGCTTGCCGTAATGGGATATGAGATTAAATAGTCTCTCTAGCGACTAAGCGTTAGACAATATATTCCGAAATTATCCAAAAACTGTACAGAATGTTTCGGGTATTGTCAGTCTGTAACAAATTGCCAAACTCGTCTAATTTTCTGACGCGTGGTCGCATTTCCACTTCGTTTGGACGGGAATCGTCGACCGGCACGGGCAATTCCGTCTACAACTTCATTGTGGAAAGCGCCCCGACTGAGTCTGTGAAGCAGTTGCTGATTTCCATTCATGACTACTCGGGTCTCCCATGGTGGGCCACTATCATCTGCACCACTGCTGCCTTTCGGACCGCTATCACTTTTCCCCTCGCAATTTACCAAGTATTGCTTTTTCTTTTTCTTCCAAGTTGTAAACATTTTTTAAAATTAATTATTCTTTTTATCTAAATCTTGTTTGAGATGAAAAAGTTAGTGTCACAAGCGGGATTTGAACCCATGATCTTCGGCTCGATACACCGCTGCTCTGACCACTTGAGCTCGTGATGAGTATGGTTGAAACATGAAGTCATTATAGCTCAAGTGGTTAGAGCATCAATGTATAGCCGATGGTCATGGGTTTGAATCCCACTTGTGTCACTTTTTCATCTCACCCAAGACCTTAGATAAAAAGAATAATTAATTGAAATAATTATATGGTCAATTATGGTCACTAAACATGTATGATTTTTTTCAATGTTTGTTATTGACACTTTTTACACAACTGAAGACTAGAATGAAAGTGCTAAACAAGGCAATCGTCAACTTTCAATTAAAGTAGAAAGGAATAGAATCTTCTCATCGACAATATGGATTGTTTCTTTTTGATTTTATCTGACTTCTTTCTAAGTGACTGGCAAGTATCATTTTGCCCTCTGGCTTATTGGGTAAAATTTGATCTTTTCGAATAATGCTACCTAGAAAACCCAATGTGCAGAATCTTTAAAAAGATAGTTCTTACTCACAGTTGTTTTCAACGATCCAGATTTCAAGCTTTCAGCTCATCATCAGGTTGAAGGAATTTACAACCTGATAATGAGCTGTAAGCTTGAAATCCGGATTGTTGAAAACAACTAACTGTGAGTAGGAACTATTTATTTAAAAAGATTGAAAAAACATAACTCCACCATTTATCATTTCTATAATGTGCAAAATGTCATACATATAATAATGTATTTTAATTTTTTATTGTTGAGTCCAGTAAAATATGTCATCATGCAGAAGGAATTATTGTTATTATTTTTTTTTAACGAGTATTTCAACTATGAGGTTATATGAACCCTGGGGGTGACATTGTTTTTGAAAAAAATCCTGTTTGTATGTCAGGTTGCTGGATTCGAACCCGGGACCTTTACAATTATGAGCACCGTGTCAATGCCTAAACCGTTAAGGCCATTGATGCCTTTGAATGATGCTCAAAAACAAATACCTAGAATGAAATTTTTATTTCACAATTTTAATTTGACGCCAACAATTATTATTTCGTATAAAGTTGTCTTAAAATTGATTGTGGTTCAATTAATTAAAATAAATTAATTAATTTAAAAAAAAGGATTGCATGCACCTTCTTTTGCATGTTATGATGTTTTTTCTTCTTCAAAGCACATTAGGAACATCACAGCTTTTACAGACGAATAGATTTGTGATTCATTTTGGAATTTTATTTCTTTTTCACTGTTTATTGTTTTTGCAAAGATCATAAGTCTTGACAGGCTTTAATATTTAAGAGAGCATTAACAAGGAATTTTGGTTTAATAATAAGGAGAAAAGTTTCTCTAAAAATTTTACAGTACTCCAGTTAGGGGCTAGTTTGCCAAGTGCATGAAAGTGTGTGATTCTTGTAATATTTTAGTGTGTGTGTGAATTTGATTTTCCTGCTTTATTTTCTTTTGGATTACCAACCTGCCAATATTTGTGTTTGATTTGAAATTTATTAATGCAGCCATTATTGTCATTAAACTAAAATACAACATAATTAGAAAACTTTCTTTATTTAACCTAACCCTATTATTCATCCTTATATCATACTTAATAATTTTTTATATATTTTTTTTTAGCATTATATAATTGCAAAAATAGAGAATTTAAAAATGCTTGAAATGCCAGAGATATCGGAAAAGGTAAAGAGATCCGTAGCTATGAAAGCAAGAGAGTACAAGTGGACAGATAAGAAGGCAACACTGATGTATAAAATGATGGTATTTAAAAAAAATGCTTTTACAGAATTATTTATGTAAAATCTGTAATTTAAAGATAATTGCAGATGAAAAAGGAATGGGATACACTAGTGGTGCGTGATAACTGCCATCCATTCAAAGCAAGTTTGACAATTTGGTTTCAACTGCCAGTGTGGGTTTTCCTGTCGGCTGCACTTAGAAATGCATCATACATGCTACCTATAAAAGATGCAGGTGTTTAAATAAATAAATTTACCTTTTTTTGCACACATATGTCATTTATTTATATTTTGTAGCTGCCCAGGTCTTATATTTGCAGTTGGCAGTTGGTGGATTTCTATGGATTCCAAATCTTGCTCAACCAGATGAATATTTAATCCTTCCAATAATTTTAGCCCTTTCTAATTTAAGTATAATTGAGGTAATTTTACAAAATATTTTTTATATATTATTTAATTTGACACTACCCCCAATCTTTGTTTAGCAGATCCTGAAATAAAATAATTACGATTTAATGATCTTTATAGAAGTCATAGCAGTTTATTATTTTGCACATAATTAATTTTAAGATATTTGATGATTAATAGTAATTAAGATAATTAATTTTACATTTAAGTTATGTTAAGAATATGTTGAAGATAGTGTTGAGATGAAAAGTGTATTTGGCTTCTAGAAATCTCCAATTCTCTTCTTTTTTCTTTTTGGTTACAATTTCTTAAGGGTGGGTAGAATGTTGAACAATTTGGTAATCAGGGTGAGGGGTTTGTGGCATGGGCGATCGAATTCACGGCAGCTGAAATAGAGCAGCGGCGTATTGAGCGAAAGGTTGTGGGTTCAAATCTCCCCTGTGACACAGATTTTCTATTTAGAAAAAAATTGTATATAATTAATTGAGATTTTGGTAATTAGTTGATTTTACACTCTTACCTAATAGAGTGGTCCTTTTGGGTCCAACAAGTATGAGATTATTCCAAATACTGCTCTCTGGCTGGCTACTGGAGTATCAGCCATCTATGTCCTTTATACTGCATACGTTCTCACTATACTTACCATCCTCCTTGAATCTTTTGTCGATGACACAGCTGTTCTATCTTCTTACCTTTTTTTTTACGCAACAGCAGAGGTCATATAAACCCTCAGGGTGCCGGTGGAAAATAAAAAGCTCATTTGTATGTCGGGTTGGAATGTAGGGATTCGAACCCGGGACCTTTACCGTACAGAGATGAGCACCGTGTCAACGCCTAAACTGTTGCGGCCATCAATGCCCCCTTGAGGTTGCTTTATAAGATCTGCACAGACTTGTCACATGTATAGAGATTAGTGTAAACAATAGAAAATGAAGATAAATGAAAACAATTGAAATTACACTCTAAAACAAATCTCCTCTCATAGTCTACTGCGTTTGTTCTCTTGGGTACCATCTAGACTCATGATTAACATGAAATCGGTATACATGACAGAAACAAGGCCTAAACAGTCGCTACAAGCCTATAAGATGACAATCCAAGCTATCGACAAAAAAAACTTACAATCTACGAAATGGTACTACAAACAATTGGGACATTCAGGATAGAACTGTGGGGAACTGCTAAACCTTCCAATATCCAACTTCTCCAATCCTTTTAATTTAAAGGCCTCATATCAATTATAAAAGCTCTGAATCATGTCTCCACAATGACTTTAAATTCCATTTATCAAAAATTCATTCCCAAAAAATGTACCAAGTTCTATAATAATCTTTCCCATCATCCCAATAGTCTTGTCTATGCCTTATCCAACATAACCCATCCCTACAATCCTGTAAGGCTCTCAAGAGGAATGAGCCCTGCGGCCCTGTGCCCTATGTGGGAGAATAATATTATTTGTTCCCCTCAATGTAAATATGTCTATGTATCTGTAAATTACATGTAATCAGAAATTGCAGATTGTAATAAAATATAGGGAAAAAAGTTCAACACTTTCTTGAAATATTTATATATATCCTTAATTAATATTTGTTTTTTTATCAACTTACTGTCTTCCACATTTTCAGATTCAAGCCTTAAGAAGATTGCAGGACCCCACACGATTCCAAAGATATGCTACCAATTTTTTTAGAATATTCACCTTACTTATAATACCTATATCAGCCACAGTTCCTTCTGTAAGTTTATTTCTTTATCTTAAAAAGTTGTTCTGTACAGTTTTCAATTTTCAGGCCGTGAGTCTATATTGGACTACATCTAGTGTCATGGGGCTAGCTCAGAATTTGCTTTTGATGTCGAATAGGCTTAGAAAATTTTGTCGGATCCCTGACACACCCTCAACCTTAGACCATCCCTATCAACAACTGGCTTTTGACGTAAAACAGAAAATAAAAACATTGCTCTAGATTTTTAAAATTGTGTAAAAAGTGTATAAATAAATTGTTATGTAAAACTGCTGTTTTTCTATGTGCCTTCTGATAATTAAATATTAAATGGGGTTGCACTTAATCAACAAAATCTTGTTATTGTTACTTGAACTTTTAATCTGATGACCCTTAGATAAAAATATTTGTTCAAACGATTTGACTATGAGAATTGTAAAGGATCGTTTATAACTGAAACAAAAAACATGGACTACAACTTAATGCGTTTGGCAATTTATACATTCTTAGTATTAAAAGTGAATGCTGTAAGTGATTGAGTATTATTATATTTATTTATATATATGTTTTTAAACTAAATGTAACAATTTTTTTTTTCAAATTAAATACAGGACACGAGTAATCTTGAATGGGATGGATTGGGTTGTCCAAAAGGGGCTACTGGGCAGTTCCCATATGCCATGGATTGTAAGAGGTTTTACAATTGTTGGAAAGGAAGAAGTGTGTTAAGTGTGTGTGCTCCAGGAACGTTATTCAATCCTGAGACGCTCGAGTGTGATTTTCCGGCAAAAGTGAAATGTTATACAAATCCTAATATTGGCAAAACAGGTAACTGACAAAGGCAATTAATTATATGCATTTTCTTGTTATTGCTTTTATAATTGTGCTTTTGCTTATAAATAATTCATAAGCAGAAATTTATGAATTGTTATTGTTTAATTTATAAATTATTTTGTTATTATTTGTCTAGGCGATAGTTTAAATAAAATAATTGTTTTGACAATGTTTAACAAAATGATCTGTGTCAACATTTTTGGTAAATTGAAATATTTCTGTGATATGCAGGGTAATGAACCTGTATAATTTAGTTGTTAACAGTCAACCTGGTCTGCTTATCTTTACTGTGTCAGTTTGTCAGACATGTTGGGATTTTACTAACTAAAGTGTGTTTGCGATTTGTCTGTTACTTGGTCATGATTAGTTAGCAAGTTTACAGCTTGTTTATCCCATGATCAATTTTTTTTAATAGAAGACCAAATCAAACTATAATGAATTATCTTTGAAAAAGTTGTTTAAATGTGTTTTGACAATTTTACATTACGAGTAGGTGAGTTCGATGAATGTTTAAATCCAGATGTCGAGACATTGTTCGTACTTGTAGCAGGGTGAATTTTTTCCCCTTAAAATAACCTTTTAGGAATTTATTTTACTTGCTCCCATTTAGATTGTAGCCATTAATTGCAGTGATATATACAATATTATGACAATTACAGCATTGATTACTTGATTACAAGCTCTTATGAAATTGAAGCCCATTTTATTTATAACATTAATAAAGTTTAGCATAGTTATTTATTAATTTATTTTATGGTAGAGGCCAGTTACATCCTTTCTGGGGCACAGATTGTATCAATTTTGCTCTGTCAGGCTCACTTGTGAAAAGTTCATGTTAATATTAGGTATTTTCTGTCTTGTTCGCCTCCTTCTTGTTATCTGCAATGGTTGTGTACCCCAAAGTACTTAAGATAGGCTTTGTGTTCGCCGTGGTTTGAAAGTGCCTGAGTTGTTTCAAAATCGATTGTAATGTCTGCTTTTATTAACAGTCTGACAGTTCTTGTCCATTCTTTGAGGTGCTGCTTTGCCATTCCTAATTCAAATTTTTGATTATCATTTTCACATTTTTTTTTGGACCATGGCTTTTTTTCCAACTCAGGAATTTCATCCAATGCTGTTTCGTTAGATTTTGGTGATTTAATTACCAAAGTGTCCCATGTGCTTTTATTCAGGATGTGCCTATTTTCCATAGTTTATGTTTTATTATCTTTTTAAGGCTGCCAGAAAAATTTGACTGTCTGTCCAAATTCGTGCTGTTTTTTTTTCACATTTTTCTTTTTCACATTTTTTTGGACCATGGCTTTTTTTCCAACTCAGGAATTTCATCCAGTGCTGTTTCTTTAGATTTCGGTGATTTAATTACCAAGGGGTCCCATGTGCTTTTATTCAGGATATGCCTATTTTCCATAGTTGTTTTATTGGCTTTTTAAGGCTGCCAGAAAAATTTGACTGTCTGTCCAAATTCGTGCTGTTTTTTTAGCACACTTCTAGGAGCTTTGTTTTATTTATTTAGACTAGTCTTCTTAGTTTTACACTAGGACACAGTGCAGCCTACTTGGTCTTTCAATTTACATCAGTGTATATGTTATAGTAGCTGATGACAATTGGCTGAAGATTGGAATTTATCGCATTTGCTGGATGGTCTCATTTTGCTTCTGCAACATGCCTGGCTTAAATATCTAGCTTAATCATAATGATGATGCTTGAAGTGGTACTCCCGCTAGGGGCAACTAACTGGTTTACTTTCCTGGATTTTTGTCGTTTATACTCGTTTAGGGTGATGTTGAGGTATTAGCTAAGTTGCTTGCACCTCTATACTTTTTTTTAGCTAAGTTTGAGGTTTATTTGCATCATATTTAAGCAAGAGTCAGTGATCATTAGCCAAGCTGTGTACACTTTGTGCTTACTCCTGCTAAGTAGTGCCTCTGTACATACATTTCATTGAACTGTATGTGATTTGGTGGACAATTTTTTTTTGTATGCTTCCCGAATAGAGGGTAAGTATAAATGGCAACTGCAATCAGAATCGACTTGGAAAAAAAATCTAGATGTGCAACCACTGTATATAGTTGATGTAATGAATTGTTAATTTTATGTAAAAGCCTCGAGGGAATTTATAAGCGTCAACTTATATTGTGAGATTCTGATGGTGGGATATTGAGTGCCCTATCGAATCTTACTCAGGTTGATTATTTAATTTGTTTGTAAGGCGACAGACAAATATTTAATACTTCCTTGCCCAATTAGAATTAATAGAATATGTACAGAAAAATTTATTTAAGAATGAGTAAGGTGAGTGTGAACATATGTTCACTTGCATGAATTGGTGCCTGAGAAATTATGTAGCTGTTAATAGCTCTGGAGGGTACCTTTAGAGAGAAGGATGGACCAAACTTAGGTCTCACCTCAAAAATGCCAACAAAAATTATCATAGGTGATTCTCATAGAGGAGTATAATGGAAATATAATAACAAATTATATTATTAGGAATGTGTAAAAGTAGATGGCATTTTTTAATTTTTATCTTATAAAATTTTTAAAATACAGATTAAAACAACATATAATTAAACCATTTTGAATTAAAGGGCAAACAAATAATTATGAAGCATTTCGTGATCCTGTTAACCCATATAGTCACCATTACCATAAGGACTCTGTAATGGGAAAACGACCACAGCATGGTAATTTTTAACAAATAATTATGATGGTTAATTTATATGCATTTAACTCTCCTTAATTAAAAGATGTAAATAATTTGATTCAGTTACACCTGTGTTCCAACAAGAAATCCACCACCAACATAAACGAGTGCCAGTTACGCACCAGTTTGACCAGCAAGTTCAGAATCAGGATCAAGTTTCAGATGTTCCTGTTCAAAATCAACACCAACTAAATTTTCACAGAGGTAAGGAGGTGGCAACCAGTAATTCACATTTTCAGCATATGACTCAAAACCATAACAGGATTGTCACATATTAACTATATGTAACAAAGCAAGGCATTTTTTTTTTCAAAGTTCATTTTTATATTCTAGACACACAAAATAAACAATGGATTCAGCAAGAAATAAATTTTCAGCATTCCAAAAGCTACCATGAAAAAACTGGAGTACCTTCATTTTCTACTGGTACTAAACTTTTGTGTTATTAATCTTGATTATTATTATATGTTGTTTTGTTGAAATAGTTGCAAGAGAAGAATCTCCAAGCCATAAACCCATACACAACTTTCATCATCACCACACAAGTCAGCGTAAGATAATATTGTCTAGTTAATAATGCTAAAATTACAATTATATAATTGACGTTAATGTTATTTAGTAGTAAAAGTATGGTTTAATATGATCGAAGGTGACTATTATGTATTATTTATGACCCGACAAACATTGTGTGGTAATCACCAGCCCTTTATGCTTTGAATGGAGAATTCTTTTTTTTTCATCTTTGCCACTGACTTTCATATTTTGTCTCCTGTTGTCTGTTTTCTTGACTTGCTAACCTTTCATAGTTACCTCAGGTCGTCAAATCACTATGAAAGTTGGGAAGAGTTTGGATTTAGGTACTGATTGCATTGTGGGCTGAAATGACCTGGCTATGGTCAGCTACTGGAACCCAACCTCTTCTATGAAAAGTGATAACTCAATTCTGTATGCGCATGAGTGTATATGCATGGCAGATTTGAGTGTATATAAAGCAGTAATCAGTAACTCTCTTGACATATTGATAAATATTACAAATTAACCATTTAACTCATTTTACAATGAGTGATACACTAAAATGTTATACGCACACAACAAAACCCAATAGACTTTCCAAAGACAAACTTACATCTTATTTCTATCATTATGTTCTCATCTGAGATAAAATACATTTTTTAACTACCTCAGTTGTAGTTTTTCAAGGCTGTCGAGATGCCTGTTTTCCAATTCTTTCGATTCCTCCAAACTTTGGCAGCTACAGAGGGCTCAAGGAGTCAGTATTTGAAATCCAAAACAGAATTTTTAATTTTATTTAGGATTTTCCTTACCCTACCAAGTGTCTGTTGGTTTCTGGTATATACATTTTCTGCCCTTATTGTATACTGTATACCATCATACTTTATACTTGTTTGAATTTTATTTGTTGGTATTTTTTATTATAAAGACTCTCATTTTGATTTTGTTGCAGAACATAACTTTGAAAATGGTGAAGATTTTATTAGGCCTTTGGCCAGAGAACTTCAACCACCCCAAAAATATAACGTACCAACTGAAACAGTCAGCTGGCCTTCACATTCTACACATGAAGGGGGCGATACAACATTACAGACCTCATTTAACACAAACCAACAACCAATACACCATTCACATGGTGGAGTCCAGCCACCAATGTACCATTCTCACGTTGGTGTCCACCATTCACATGGTAGAGTCCATTCACCAGCATATCATTCACACGATAGAGTCCATTCACCAGCGTACCATTCACACGACAGAGCCCATTCACCAGCATACCATTCGCATGATGGAGTCCATTCACCAGCACCAGCATACCATTCGCATGATGGAGTCCATTCACCAGCACACCATTTGCATGATGGAGTCCATTCACCAGCATACCATTCGCATGATGGAGTCCATTCACCAGCATACCATTCGCATGATGGAGTCCATTCACCAGCATACCATTCACACGGGAGAGTCCATTCACCAGCATACCATTCCCAAGATAGAGCCCATTCACCACCATACTATCCGCAAACCAGTACGCAACCTGTAGAATCCAATTCAAAAACTGAAACACAACCTCCAGTGCACAATTCATATGGTGGAGTTCATCAACCAACATACCATTCACAATCAGGTGCCAAACCCCCAGTATATAATTCACATGGTGGAGTTCATCAGCCAACATACCATTCACAATCTGGTGCCAAACCCCCAGTATACAATTCACATGGTGGAGTCCAACCACCAACATACCAGTCATCAGTACATCCTAATAGTGGAGGTCTGCCATTGTCAGAAATCTTTCCAAATTTAGATAGTCCTGGAAGTTATAAGGGAGCAAAAATCCCTTTGGCCAATCACTCAGATTCCCCTTTGGTTTTGGAAGTTAACAACAATAATTATGGAGTAATTGAAAGAGAACAAGATACAATACCCCAGGTACAACAATCCTTTGTGCCACCATTTCCCAATATAAATACTTCATTGATAAATCCTGAACCAGATTTACCAGATACTTATGGAGATAGTACTTTCACTGGCCTGCATACTGTTTTAATTCCTAGTGTACAGATAACCGAAAATAACGAAAAGAGTTCAGTTAATAGACAATTACAAAATGACACAAATTATAGTGAATCTATATCCCACACGATAAATGTACCAAACACACCAATAATTTCCATTTCCAATGAAAAAGAGCTACCTTATCCATCGATGTTTAATAAAAATTACAATAGCCGGAACGATCACAAAGGTGAATATGACATTTCTTCAACAAATGTTTCTCCAAGCTATTTACCACCTAACAATAGAGGTACATACAACCCTGCTAAAAACCCACTTCGCTCATTTACAACCCCACACGAATTTTACAACCCTTCAGGCCATGCTGACCAGACTTCAACAAAATTGAACCCGACTTACGCTCAGTTTCCAGAGCTTGAAAAATGCCCACCTGATTTTAGCGGATTACTACCTCATTTGCACTGTAATAAGTTTTTGAGTTGTGCCAATGGAAGAACATATGTTATGAATTGCGCTGACGGAACAAGGTAAGATTTTTAAATTTCAATCAAATATAAAATACAAATATTAATAATTTATTAGGTTCAATTCGGAGCTGTCTATTTGTGACCATTCATCTAAAGTAAAATGCATTGAGAACCCAGTTGTTCTATTTAATAACTCAATTGATCAAATTGATGAAAGAAATGACAAAGAATATCTTGAACCAGCGGAATCACACCATGTAGCGAATAATGGTAAAAAAAGACAAACATAGCTAATAATAGTAATAATAGTAATAATAGTAATAATAATGTTTCATGTATTTTCAGAATCTTTTTACACTTCCAGAGATTTGGATGTAAGGATGGGTAATACTGAAAGAGAATATGAAATGATAAATGAGACAACGACAAATACACCTATGCACCAACAAGTTCCAGACACCCATGAATCAACAGGACTTTTCAATATACCCGACTCAAATGGGTGGAGGATTGTTGTTAGCGTCAACCAGTCAGTTGAAAGAGTGACCTCTAAGAGTGTGGCCAAAGAAAAAAAAATTTCCCCTTTGTCTTCTGAGGCTGAGAAACCTCCATCCGTGGATTTGCCTACCCGCATTCCACAAAAATTATCGGGAAAACAAATGAAGTTCAATAGACAAGTAATTAGGTTGAGAGGCGGCCCTACTCAATTCCAAGGATACGTTGAGATTAAACTGAACAACACTTGGGGCACTGTATGTGACCAGAAGAATGGATGGACAGAAATTGAAGCAAATTTGGTTTGCAAAAATCTTGGCTATACAAGGTGTGAAATTGTTTTATAAATATTAATGTAAACAGGGAGACCAGTGTTACATGCCCCAGCATTCCATTCTCTCCAGCTTCTCAATTTTACAATAACTTTTCATTAACAAAATGAATAGAAAAAGTTCATTTTGCATTGTACTCTAGAAAAATTGAAATATGAAATAAAAAAATATACACCTTCATTTAAAAAACAGGTTGTCTTGGCAAAACGTGTATAACCTAAAATAAAAGACAATTAATAACACTTAAAATAAACTAGAGGAAAAGTTATTATTACTTTTTTAAAAACTTCGATGATTATTAAAAAATAATGTATATATAAATACTCCTTTATTTTTTGTTGAACTTTTCCACCATTTTTTATATTTTTTTGAAAGCTTTCAAACCAACACTTGGCCCGAAAGCTTTCAAAATAAATTAAAAAAATGAGGGAAAAGTTCAATAAATAAAAGAAGAAAAATAAAGGATTATTTAAAAATAAAATCACTATCCCTGCAATCTACCTATATTTACAAGTTTTTATAAATAATTATTTCATAAGTTGTACTACAGTCTACAAAATTGTTGACATTTAGAGGTGCAGAATCATCATGGCAAGGGAGACCAGCTTCTGTTACTGAAAAAGTTTCTCCAATAGTTGCAGTTGATGCCGTCAATTGTATTGGTCATGAAAAATCAATTCTAGAATGTCTTATTTCAAAACGTATTTTCTTAATATAATCATTATTGTATCATTTAAATTGTCAAATACCAATATAAATGTATTCTTCAGAACCGTACTGTGATGTGAATAATGATGCGGTTTGGGTTCGGTGCCATGACAATATAAGGTCACAGTGCCGGCCTGGAGAAATTTCTATCGGTGACAGATGTTACTTTCTGGTTGAACCTTTTGAAGATACTCCTGTTGAAATGGCAGGCTTTACTCAAGGAGAAGCCTTAGCACATTGTCAAAAGCATGGCGGTCATCTTCTCAACGTAGCCTCACAAGTAATTTTTAAAAAGTTTTATTTTTTATTTCATTTTTGTTTTAATACAATTACAATTTATAGATTGAGAATGATTTTTTGTCTGAATGGTTGCTCAGACAATCTCAGCTTGAATCCGTAATGACTGCAGGTGTTGGCGTGTTAGTAATGGGAATGCCAATATGGATTTGGGAGGGTAGTGAAGAGCCGTTTACTTATCATAACTGGTGGCCTGGTAAGAAATGTATACATAAAATCAAAATAGTTTTGGACTTATATATTTTGAAAATAAGGCTGGAATGGGACCAAATCGATTGCACCAAAACTTGAAACTGGTCGAGCTTCTTGCATAGTATTACGGAGGTTTTATCCATGTACTAATGCCGATACAAAAGAAGGACGGCTTTGCGACGCCCAGTACTATTTCTGGGATATTGATGATTGTGGGACAATGTCAGTAAGAATGCCATATATCTGCAAAAGGCCTGCTAATAAAATTGGTAATTTAATACAAATGTTTTGGGTAGAAGTGTAAATTGCTAATTTGTTTTCTTCTATACAGGATGTGTACTAGGAACTGGGTCTAATTATAGAGGTGGTGCTAATGTGACAAGTGAGGGCAATTTATGTTTGGCTTGGGATTCCAAGGAAGTAAAATCTTTTTTGAAGTATAAAATTTCTGATGAAGATAGAAGGTATTGTTAACGTATGATTTAATTTGTTATATATTCCGCGATATTTATAAATTAGATGGTTGTTAAGAAATAAAACCAAGTGTTCCATGATGTTAAATTTTTATTGTTACAAACTTGTACTTACCAGGCTGTGTATTTCCGTCTAGTGATGCCTGTTTGTTTCAATATTTTTCACATCTTATATTTATGTATTTGGGCTGCTGAAGAGGGGCTTTCGAGCCCGAAATATCTGTAAGGATAAAAAGTTTTAATGCCACAGAACACTTGGGTTTATTTCTCACCAAACATCAAAAACATAAGATATGTACCATTCATGTGATTTCTGATGGAAGAAATTTATAATTTTGTGAATGATGATGGAAATCTAGGAAGTGGGTTTTTATGACCCCCAAGTACTGCAGCCTTCTGGCTTATCATACTTTTCCTAGTTCTTAAATCAGTACAATTGACTCATTATGTTAAGAAGTATTAAGTCCATTGACTATCATTGCTACAATTCCTTTCCCTGGGGTTTTTTAAACCCAGGTTATGTCTCCGTTGAGCAGTTCCTTCACATTCAAAGATGACTTGGGTGGCTTTTTCTTCCTCCTTGCATAACCTACAAATGGGGTCATCATTGAATATAACCATCGTAAATGTGTTCAGATGCCAATGATTAATGCACCTATTGCTCCACTGAGTTTAGCCCCTAGTAGCAACCAATTTACCAGTTTTGGTGAGGGTTTTTTTAAATGTCTAGTACTTCTAGAGTTTATTCACTTTTCCTTTTGTCTTTTTTGGATGTATTCTGAGGATTCTATGTTTGAGAAACATTTAGTAATTTAATTTGTATAAACACTTTTTTTTATTAACAATTTACTCTTTTTTTAAAGAATGACGTTGTCTGGCCACAATTATTGTCGGAACATAGGAGGGATTGATGTAGCACCTTGGTGTTTTGTCAAATTAGGTGAAGAAATTCATAAGGAATATTGTGACATTCCTTTGTGCAGCAAGGACAGGACTGAGAAATCTGCCAAATATTCAGAATACAAATGTGGGCCAAAACAGTTTTCTTGTGAGTCTAAGCGACAGTGTATTCTACAGGAATGGGTTTGTGACGGGAAGCCTGTAAGTAAACGTTCAATAATTCTATCAAATATCGCCATGCTTACTTTATGATTTTCAGGATTGTTCAAACGCAAGGGACGAGCTTGACTGTTTAGATTCTCTATTAAAATTTCAACACTATCCTCACACACAACTCCCAGGTTTTGATATTGAGACTCATAGAAACACTTCCTTAAAAACCTGTTCGGAAAAATGCCTTGCTTTAGAAAATTGCAGATCTTTTTATCATCTGTGAGTTGAACTTTATATGAAAGGATAGTATAATTGATTAATGTGTTAATTATCTTTTAGAGAAATGACTGGCGAGTGCTTTCTAACAGAAAGTAATGTTGGCCTTTCGGGAAATCTAGTTACAAACAAAATGGGTTGGAGTTATTATGAAAGAAAATCGACCATGTTGAGATGCTCAGAACTATATTTATGTGATAATGGAAAATGCTTAAGCCACACGAGTGTGAGTTTTATTTTTCATTTACAAAATATTCTTATTCTTTAACTCAACTGAAGATACATTTATAAAATTAACGCTACTGGTTTTTTCCCATTAATTTTGGCATAAAAATATACTGGTGAATATGGAAGTTAAATATGTAAACATTATATAATTAATATTCAATAAGTCAATGAAAGGCGTCGGTGGCCACAACGGTTTAGGCGTTGACACGACGCTCATCACTGTAAGGAAAAGGTCCCGGGTTCAAATCCACCCACCCTGCAATTGAACCCAACATACTTACAAATGGGCTTTTTTTCAAAAACACGGGCACCCCTAGGGTTTATACGACCTCTGCTGTTGTGAACCCTCTTAAAATTAAAAAAAAAAGAAAAAAGGGTACTGCATATAAGCATACTTTTTGGCAATAAATCCAATATATATTATTCAAACTTTGAACATACATTAATGAATCCATAGGAAGAGAAGAGTTATATTAAATAACTGAAAATAAGTATATTATAAATGTTTATACAGAAAAATGTGAAATACAATAACGTATCTTTTTGTCAATGACTAATACTTCCACTGACTGCTAAAACATTTTGCATTTAGGTTTGTAATGGAAAGAATGACTGTGGTGATATGTCAGATGAGAAAAATTGCACATGGCTTGAAAAAGGAATTCAGCTGAGGCTCTATGGTGGGGCAAATCCAAATGAAGGGACAGTTGAGATCAAAGGTTCTTAAAATAATCATCCTAATAAATAATTATGTAGAACTAAAAGAATAATTTCTTTCAATTAATTAATCTTTTTTATGTAAGGTTTTGTACGTTGAGATGGGGAGTCGGTGTCCGAGTGGATCGAAGTCACAATAGCTCAAGTGGTTAGAGCAACGGCGTATTGAGCCGAAGGTCGTGGGTTCGAATCTCGCTCATGACACTAACTTTTTCATTTCAAACAAAACCTTACATAAAAAAATTAATTGAAAGAAGTAATTTGGTCAATCAGACCGCTAAATATAATAGATTTAAAAGAACAATGTTGTAAGCGTTACTGTTTTGTATAGTTCTTTAACTTAAACAAAATAGACGTATGAGTTAATAGAATGGCAAACCTCTCATTTAATTATTATTTTCCATTAGAATATAAAATAAAAGTCCTGATATGATTTTTATATCTTCAAGTATTTCACAGCAAATGATCATTGGGGTCTCATATGTGATGACCAATTTGACATTGAGGATGCACATGTGTTATGTCGTCACTTGGGCTTCCCACAAGGTGCGCTTGAAATAAAAAAGCATTCAGCATTTGGCAAAAGACCAAACATCACCAAGTACCTTATCGATGAGCTCAGTTGTAAAGGTAACGAGTCTATAATCACTGAGTGTGAGCATAACGGGTGGGGTGTGCACGACTGCGGGCCTGATGAAGTAATTAAACATTTACATAATATATACCAAATGTAAATAAACATAGAAATTTAAACTAAGTAATAACATTTTAGGCTGCAGGAGTAGTTTGCAAACGTGAAGAAACCGAATGCTCATTTAATTACTGGCTTTGCGATAGTAAAGCTGAATGTATTCCTTTCAGTTTTCTCTGTGACAATATTTCTGATTGCACTGATGGAAGCGATGAAATAACTTCTAGATGCAAAGTAAATAAACTTATAAACGGAAATCAGAACTAAAGTATTAATGTGATATTTTTAGTCAGAAATAGATGTTCGATTAGTAGGTATTGGAGGCGAAAGCAGGAGCAATAAGATAACTGAAGGTCGATTAGAGGTCAGGAGATTTGGAGTCTGGGGAACAGTTTGTGATGATGATTTTGGAAGTAAAGAAGCCGAGGTTGTTTGTAACTCTCTAGGCTATGCTGGCACAACGAAAGTATTATAAAACTTAGTATATTAAAAAATAACGTTCTCTATTTACTTATTTTTGTCAATTTTAGGTTTATAAAGAAGCTGCTTTTGGGGCTGGAACTGGAATCATATGGTTAGACCAAGTCCATTGTTTAGGAAATGAGACAAATGTCGCAGAATGTATGCATGACAATTGGGGTTTGACAAATTGTAAACACAATGAAGATGTTTCTATCGCTTGCTCCCCCCAAAATATCAATATGGATATTGTAAGTATAGGCTGACTAATAAACAAATAATTGTTAATGGTAAGAACAAACATTTTGTAGGACCAGAACCTTCATTCTAATGAGAATGAACAAGAGCCGAGCTTCACTCTTGAGCAGATTTTACCACAAACTTGTGGTATTATCTCATTGGATATAGGACCAGTTAACAATTACAAACCTAAAGTGGTTTCAGGCTTTGAGACAATCAAAGGAAGCTATCCATGGCAGGTAATAATGTATTTTTTAATATGAAAAGCACCAACGGTCAAAAGCAAACCCTGACCAACACCATGGAGATCCTTGGCACCGTATGAACGAGTTATGGTTGGACCATGCTCTGGCCACTTTTCCTCTGCATTCACCCTCTGACCTGGGATAAAACCCCATAAAAATAGTTCTTTGAGGGTGTTTTTATTTTATTTTTATGTTTTGATTTTAACGCTAATTTATTTCATTCTGGATCTTTATTCCTGTCATTTGATCGCAATTCCTAACCTCTTTTTTTTCAAGCTGACCACTTGGTGCTAGGGGAAAGAACACTTAAAAACCAGCCCCTCACACCATAGCAGTCCCTAGGACTGCTAATATTTTTTGAAAAATCGGTACATTTTTAGTTGAGGAAACAAGAAATATACATTCTCTGGTTCATTAATACCCTAAAATTACAACGAAATTTCATTTTGGTCCAAGAGTGAGGTTTGCATGGAGTCCCAAGGCACTTAAATTCGATTGATTGAACGGCATGGAAACACAGGATGTAAATTTTTGGATATTGTACATGTATGTTTATAGTTAACAAAAACATGTAGCAAAAACATAAATATGACCTTAGATAAACCTTTATTTTGCCATATTAACACACAATTAATACAAAGCAAAAATTGTTCAATTATTTTTTTTTCCAACTGAACATCTCTGTGTATTTTCACAGCCCTGTCGTGGAAAATGTAGGAAAATATAAGGGACCACAATAAGGTAGTAGGAGGAGTTATAAGGTGCGCCCGGCTATAGACCTTTCAGGGGTATTGGGGACTTTAAACTGGAAGGAAGACAGCACTACGCCCTACTAAATATTTCCATGCTTTTTAAACTGTTGTTTATCTCTATTTTACCCAAATCTGTAGGAAAATGCTTGAGACAAAAATCATGGGAAAAAGGGTGGCATTGTGTTGGGTGAAAGGGCATGCAGGCTTATGGCAAAATGAAACGGTGGACGCACTTGCAAAGGAGGCTGCAACATCAGGTCCAATCCTTGACATTAAAATTCCTAAAGATGACAGGGAAAAACGTTTTGAAAAAGTTTTGTAGAAATCTGAGACAAGAAAAATACAGCACATCAAATGTCGGCAATTATTACAGGTCACTGTTCCCTGAGCTCAAGAAAAAACCATGGTTTTCGGAAGGCGATAGCCCAGAAGGAATGTCAAAGGAGTTCTATTCTACTATTTTTAGACTGAAGACAAATCATGGCCTATGGTGTAGCTACAAGAAGAGAATCGGTTTGGCATTGTCTCCAAACTGTCCCACTTGCAATTGCCCTTCAAATCCTTCCCACATAATTTTCGAATGCCCAGAATACGAAAAATAAAGAGATAAATTGCTAAAAAATCTGAGCAAAGTCCCAAACGTTCCCAAACCAATAAACTTAGAATCTGTTCTAATAAGCAACAATCCAGTAGCATTCAACATAATCTATAGATTTCTAAAGTAGATAAACGTTTATCCACGTCCTCCAAGGAGGACACTGAACAAATAGACGAAAGCGAAAAACCATACGGGTCTTCCTCCTCTCCTGCCCTGGCGGAGTTTTTCTCCAGGGGACCGTGCCCACGATCCTGCTCAACAGTAAAATTAGAATAGAAAACATCATGGGTAATATGCCAGCAAAACCCCCCCCCCCCCAAAAAAAAAAATCTATTTTATTATTATAAGAGCTCAAAGTTTTGTTATCATTTTAATAGCACGGAATTTATTTAATTATTAATCTCAATTTATTTTATATTTCTATAATTTTAATAGCAGAGGAAATCATTTTGTTTTTATTTGGTATTGGGCATTTTATAAATTTTTTATTGAGCATTGTAATTTATTGTACACCTGAAATTATAGTAATAATGAATGATTTGTGTTTAATAGTAACTATTCGTACATTTTGAGTCTTCTTAATCAAATTCAGGATTTCTAGTAGTGACTTTCTGCCTCTAAATGAGGGGCGGTTACAGAATCATACTGCTGGAAGAGTTGAATACGTTCATACAAGATTTTCCTGAGATGTCAAAAGTCTTGAACCCGATCGGGATTTGAGTTTCTCGGGGGTTTATGTTCAAGAGAATGTAGTCACCTGAGAATTGGAGATGAACGTTACTATTTTAATTGTGAATTCCCCCAAGCCAACTGGAAAAAATTACCTGGGTGCTGATGTTACCAGTGAAGTTCCTTGGCTTCACTTTCGGCCAATAATTATGATGGCAGCCCAAAATTAACTTCATTGGGCAAAGGCATGCAAAATGATTGCTCTTATTTAGGGTTCGTTGTTGGGGGATTCCATTTATAAATATTTTGACTTTGTTGCTATTCTTCTTTATGATTGCATGGAATATTATTCATCCTGAAGTGCACATAGGATTTTTTTTTACAATGGATACCAGGAACTGGAGGGTTCCCTCTTGAGCACTGCAGCTGTACAGCTTATTTTACTTTATCCCTGACTCCATTTTTGGGGGCTCGCAACACAAGTGTGAATTTGAGCCCCCAGTGTGCCGGTGTTCTTCCATCAAAATAACTCTTTTTTGAAGGGGGTTGGGACCAAATTCAGGGTCACCGAGTTCTGATCCCGCTCCTTCCACTGATGAGTGCTGTGTCAATTTCTTTCAATTGTGGCCACTGGTGTCAGAAAAAGTCCAGAGGCGATGGGTGGGGATCGAACCCACGACAGCTGAGAGTCTGATGCTTTAACCACTCGGCTACTGCGGCCCCCCACATAGGATTGATACTGAAGTATTAGAATTAATGATTGAATTTAGAACAAGCTCGTAGGCTGTGGTAAGAGTTGGGTGCGTTGCTATCTGAACTTGAGAGCTATGCAACAAGCTTCTTCATTAAGCTGGGATTTACGCCAGGGAATGCAAACACACACCCACACACACACACACACACACGCACAAAAAAAATCTTTCTTGAAAAAGATACATGCTCTTATAGTTTTTATTTTAATTCTTTCAAATATATGTTGAACTTACTCAGCATAATAAGTAATGGTTGAAAAACATTTTTCAAAAATAGTAACCAAATATTAAAATTGCAGGCAAGTGTTAGAGTAAGAAGTGTTTTGGGGCAGTCAACACATTGGTGTGGTGCTGTTATTATTTCAAGGTTTCATGTGTTAACTGCTGGTCACTGCTTACGGGACTACGTTAAATCTTCATATTTCATTCGAGCTGGTGACTTTGATATTGAAGTGAGTTAATAACTAGTGTTTTTGATATGCTCTATTATAAATATATATGTATGAATACTACAGTATATTAATATGAATACTATATAAGGTTACCGAAGAAAGTGAACAAGACGTGGAGCTAGAAGGATTATGGATTCATCAGGATTTAGATAAGGGAATGACTCTGAACAATGACATTGCTATCGTTAAAATAAAAAAGCCAGGGTTCAATCTCAATAAGTGGGTTTATCCTGCTTGTCTTCCTTTACATCCAGTTTCATATGATGCAGGGAAGAATTGTACAATCTCGGGTTGGGGTTCAAGCGGAGTTCCTGGGTCGGGTTTCGCAAGAACGTTACATGCAACCTGGCTGCCGATAATTCCGCAAGATAAATGCAAAACCAGCTATGGAAGGAAAACCATTACCGATGGCATGTTCTGTGCTGGTAACCTCAAAGGAGGTGCAGACTCATGCCAGGGAGATTCTGGTGGCCCTATTATTTGTCAAGAAGAAGGTAAATAATTAAAAAAGTTTTTTAGTTAAAATAATAGCATTAAAAATTTTTCTAGATGGAATGACTGTTTATGGCATTACAAGCTGGGGCCATGGGTGTGGAAGAGTCGAAAGTCCTGGTGTATATACAAATGTTTCCTATTACATGGGATGGATCAGAAATACAATCGAAAACTCAATGTAAGAATTTTACAAGAAAAATATTTTACATTTGTTTGAAAACAATGTTAAGAATTTTATAGATATAGTTAATACCTACTTTAAAAGACAAATGATTGGCAAAATTGATTTGTTAAGAATTTTATGCTTATGTACTTTATGATTGGTATATTATTTATTGGAGGATATGGAATGTTAGTTATTAAAAAATGCCAATAAAAATCCTATATATGTAACTTATCATTAATAAATTTACATTTGAAAATTATAACTGTAAATACATTATTTAATAAAACCTTATTATTCTCTACAATTTTTTTCAAGTTATATACCTTAAAAAATAATACTTTTCCTAATCCTTAAACCTAATAAATAAACAAAACATTGGATGTGAAAATGAGTTAGTTCTTTAACAGATGTGGGTTTTCTTCAAACCATGCCAGATATTAAGCAGTTTTTCAGGAGCTTGTACCACTGGCTTCTTGAATATTTTGAGAAGCTCCAAGATTCGTTTCCACCAAGGACTTGGTGTCGGCTTTGTAAATGCAACCTCATTTAGGTTGATATAATTGACACACAGACCTAATTCATCTTTGTCACTAAATAGTTTGTAAGTGAAATATATTATAATACATGTAAGTTTTTAAAACTTATTCTAATGGAAAATGTACATACTTGCAAGTTGTAGGAACTAAGTTTTTCCTGTTATTCTTCCATTCTTGAAACAGTCTTGTCATGGTTTTGGTATGTGATAATTGATCACATTTCTCTTTCATACTAATTGTTAATATTTTATATTATTGGCAATGAAATTGATGCATACAGGAATAATAACATACAGAACAGAAATATAATTAGTGTCATTTGTTTCACGATTTCCTTGTCCAAAATAACGACGCCCCTCAAATTCCTTAATGCCATACCTATACATATATACTTAAATAATTTATTTTAAAAAATAAATCAATGAAAATAATACAAAATAAGTAAAATACCAGGTAGCCAGAAAGGTTTGTGCAGTTTTTCATTTGTAATTTTTTAATGCCATTAAACAACATTTCTATTTACATCATACAATAAATATCAGCAGGGGTAATATATCATTTCATAAAGAAAAAATATCTTCAGTTCACCGTAAATTATAAAATACTGTCTTTCTCAGAGCTTCAAAATAATTCCTATTTGCTTATATGAATTTATGCTTGGTACTTGGGCAGCCAAGGCAGCTCGTAAAATTTACACTGCATTTCGTAATGAAACAATAAATGAGTGCACTGCCCAAAAGTGGTTCAAAAGGTTTGTTTCTGGGAACGAGGGGATTGAATATGAACGGTCTGATAGGCCTTTTTTCTTGAGTAATGACAAATTAAGGAATTTGAACTTGATTTAAATCAAACATGTCAAGAGCTTGCCAGAATTGTCAATATAAGCGATGAAACCATTCACTCTAGCTTACATCGCGCCAATGGGTTTCTCATACATTGACCGACAGTAATAAGCTTAATTTCTAAACTTTTACTGTACAGAGAGAGATGTGTTTTGGCTGGATTGTTATATGAGATGAAAAATGGATCCTGTTCAGTAACAGGAGATTGTACAACCGGCTGTCACCAAATGACCCTGTCCTATTAACGCAAAAACCAGCAATCAACCAACAAATGTGATGCTTTGTGTGGTACACTATGAACTAACAATGCCATCACTGCAGAAAATCTACTCAAGCCAACTGCAAAGAGTATCTTCTGTTTCGGCCTAAAAACAACATGCTATCGTGAACAGAAAAGGTGTAAATTTTCACCAGAACAGCTGTTGTTTTTTTCATACAGTCACACGACAAAATGAAGCTAAATTGCAAAGCCCTACAACACCCTCCGTACTTTCCAGACCTGGCCCCATCTGACTTACACCTTTTCTTAGCAATGGACAATCATATGTGCAATCTGGTGTTTGATTGTCAGTAACAGCTGAAAAATGAGTTGAATTTATTTTTTGAGTCCTGGACCCCAACTTTTATAAGAGGGCCATAAATGGGGTTATTTTGACAGTTATTACACACTTTAAACCCACATGAATTTCTTGTCACCTGGTGAAATAAAATAAAATAAAATAAAAAATAAAATACTTCTTGAAACTGCTTTTGCAGAAATCATGAAAACGTGGAAAATTTTCCAATGCCATATTATTTTCATAAAGATATTTGAAAGTTTCGTTCAACTGAAAAAAAAAAAATAAATAAATAAAACCAAAAGTAAATAAATAAATAAAAATATTAATAAGAAATGCAGTGGATCAGATAAGGAATAATAAAATATAAGTTTAAATTTGACTCCCCTGTGCTTCCTTTATGTAAGAATAGAGTTTAGTAGGAAAAATGCTGGTTAGTGTGGGGCAATTTGAGTTTCAAGAAGGGCAATTTAGGAAAAAAACTTGTTTACATTTTTAGTCAATTACGTGCTGATTCTCATTCGTCATTTAATTGAAAAATCATCAATATTAATGCTAAATTTAATTTTATAGGAATCAAAGACCTAAAAAATTTGAATTCTATTACTCTAGAATTAGGACTTTAAAAAATACAAATTAATATAACAACAATTTAATAAACATACCATTTATTTGATGTATTAATAAAATATCAAGAAAGCGAGACTTTACCATGATTTCAATGAAAATTATTTTAAATTACTGCAGCAATGACGAAAAGTTTTACTTGAAACTCCGTGAAAATAAGATACCGACAGATATTATTATGAAATATTCACTAATTTCGTGGTCTGCTTGACCAATTAAATCATTACAATTAATTAAGGTTTGTAGTTGAGATGAAAAATAATATTATGAAATATTGAAAAAATATTCCGAAATGCTTGAGGGTTGGAATAACCCAGGGTCTGACAAATAAATGCATCTATATCATGGCAATCAGAAGCTACTGTATTTGATGATTTTTCAACTAAAAGATGAGAATAAGAATAAAATAATTGACTAAAAATCTAAAAAGTTATTTTGTCAGCCAGGGTGGATTAGGTAAAAACTAGATCCCAATAAGTGCACTCATTCTCTTAATTTTTACCCATTTAAAAAATTGATTGTTAATCTATGTTTATAAAAATTATCTTGTTTAGGTCGCAATTTTACAGTCCAATATGGAAGACTGGCAGTGAAAAGTACTTAAGGCATTATCTATTGAGGATCCGTTTGGTTGGAGCTCTTCATCAGAGATGGCGATGTTGTCAAGATGAAATGCCCAGAGAAAATATTTGAAATTTGCTTCGGATTACCGAGAAAAAATTATTTATAAGTTTATTTATTATAAATAGACTATAAAATAGATTATAACGAGGAGTTACAACTCGGAGGATCGTTCTAAGAAAATGTTATTTTAATATTTGTGATTGATTTTAAAGGATTTATTTACACCTTCACTAGTTTGAAAACTAAATTGAAAAAAGAGCGAGAATAGACGGACCAAAGACGTTTTGTTTGGACAAAACCATTTTATTATTTACGGGCGAATTTGTTATCCGTTTACGAAAACGGCGCTCGACATACTAAACCAACAAGACAGTCAGGTTCGGCAAAACTGTATCGCAATTTTTTCAGGCGCGAACGACGGCTCATCGTCAAAAAAAGTATATTAAAATCATTTTAAATTATTTTAAGAGGTATGTAAACATTTTAAATTATGATAAACTTTTTGTCATTTTATGATTTTTGATTTTAAAAATTCCTTCAGTTGTTATTTCTCGCATTTTGTTTGTTTCCGAATAAGGAGTCAAAACTGCGAATAAATTAGGTAAATTATTCAGATATCGTGAGATGCGGTCTGGTGTGGTGTAAGGTTCAGAAAAACATTTTCTTTTCATGCCAACGTTTCGATCTTTATTGAGATCATCTTCAGGGCCTGAGATTTACAAACATTGTTTACATTTAACAAATACATTTAGGATGTGGAAAAGTGAATTTATACAATGCAAAATATATTCTAGATTCAATCTGAATTCACGATATCTGAATAATTATCGATTAACGGTCACTAATCTCTACACAAATTAGGTAAAGTTGGTTAAACTCTATTTAACGGCATAAGGACCGATTTTTTCGAATAACACGAGAACCATCACAACAATCATTGAACAGAGATAGGACACCCGCTCTAGCAGCATACTACTCCATTTTCGATGAATCACCCAAACAAATTTTTCTCACTGATCCGAATCCACCCTGTATATCAAACAAAATTGTGTAGTTTGTGAGCTATAAACATAACACCAGTAGTGTATTCCTATTTTTTTACTGCAAGCTGTATTATAAATTAAGGCCCTGAAGATGATCTCAATAAAGATCGAAACGTTGGCACGATAAAAAAATGTTTTTCTAACCCACATCAAACCAGACCGCATCTCACGATCTTTAAATAATCATTATAAATTAATTCATGTTTTTGTTAAAAAATAATATTGGAAGTAGCACTAGTGTTTTTCTGTGATTTTTCTATAATTTTAATTACATAAGTAATATCAAGTATATACGTTGAAGTAGGATGAGATTTACTTCTGTATTATTTGTAAGTTCAAAAAAATTCAAAAGAGTAAAATATTAAGTTGATTTAAATTTAAATCTAACATGTGATTATATATTGAATATTTAAACATTAAAACTGGAAATTATAGAAGATAGGTAAAGCCGACAAGATTTATGTTTCTATAAAATATAAATATATAAAATAAAGATACCTGTAGCGCAAGGCCTACACATGCTAGACACTTTTCACATTTGGAAGCCACATCATAATTTAGATGTCGGGGTAGTTTGCCTTCAATGTAATCTGAAAAGTTTAAATAAATAAATACAAATGAATAAGTAAATAATCGAACAAACAAATTTATATACATATATAATTTAATATTATATACAAGCAAAAGCAAATTTGGAATACACCACCTTTATTAACACTTGAGTTGACTATGCAAATAGCAGTAGAAAGAAATGTATAACATAGAAGAGTGTTTAGTGTCATTGTAAAAAAAGCAACATGTCCTATGAATAAAAAAAAGAAAGTCAGATGTCCAATTTAGGCATATGGTAAATTATTTAAATTATGTTTTAATGAAAATTCAATGGGATAATTCTCTCACTCCCATTAAAAGATTAAGAAGAAGAAACATATTTATTTATATATTTTGGGAGGTGTCCCCTTAGAATAATACAATGGTTTACCTGTATGATGTACTTGTATTATGATGTTATGCTAATCATAAAGTGCAAAATAGAACAGAGTAAAAACAGCATAAAAACAAATAAACTTCTTGACGGGAAAAATTAAATAAAACTAAATGCATACAAAAATTAAAAAAATAAAATAAAATAAAACGACTCTGTTTGAAGAGAAAGGAGGTGATTATAGAGGAGGGATTATATAGACGCTACACAACTGTAATCGAAGAAGGGGAAGATAAGAGAAGATACTAGGAGTTAGAGGTTACTAGGAGAAAATACCGCTGAAGAAGGGCAAGAGAATCCAGGATCGACGGAATAGGTTGAGGGAGGCTATACAGCGGAAATTTAGGAAATATGAGGGTGCCAGGAGAGGTTTGGGCCGAGGATAATCCCAAGGTTTTTGACGGAAGTACGAAAGGGGATGGGCTGGTATTTACATCGAGAGAAGGAATATTTGGGAAGGATTTGAGAAAAAGTCTGGATCCGATGATAATGGTCTTAGACGGATTGAGGTTGAGGGAATTTCTCATTTATTAATGGAATCAAGGTCGTTATGGATCTTTAGGATGGCCGATTGTAGTTCTGAGGGAAGGGCAGGTGAATTTGGGAGTCGTCTGCATAAAAGTAGTAATCGCAGTACTGGGTGGAGTCGGAAAGGTCGTTCGTATATACTAAAAATGATGGGTGAGATGCTAGGGCCTCGGGGAACGCCAGATTTTAGGTGGAAGGAAGATGTATCCGTTGAGAATAGTGACGGCTTGGAGACGATTGATGAGATAGAATTGGAACCAACGTTGAGTACAATTGGAGAAGGAATTCGAATTTGGAAAGGAATGATGAGTGGGCGATGGAATCGAAGGCTTTGGAAAAGTCAAGTTGAATTAAGATAGGTGGTGATTAGTGACCGTTAATCAATAATTATTCAGAAATCGTGAGATGCGGTTTGGTGTGATGTAGGTTCAGAAAAACATTTTCTTTATCGTGCCAACGTTTCGATCTTTATTGAGATCATCTTCAGGGCCTGGGATTTACAAACATTGTTTATATTTAACAAATACAGTCGCAGTTACGCCAATATCATTAATCAAATTCAATATAGATAACATACACATATCATCTCATCACATTCCACACATCAAATATTTTTCACATAGTCTAATTTTTCAACAATTTAGCTTTCCTTTCCCTAATTATCCCCTTCTATATAATCCTGAAAGGATAATCTGACCTTCAAAATCTAACATATGTAAACATAAAACAGCAATATCTCACTGGCACTCTCAACACGACACGCAAGAATGGCACAATTACACAGAAGACAAACACTTTGAGTGAGTAGAAATACTTTGATTGAATATAACAAATATATTTTGTATTGTAAAAATTCACTTTTTTCTCACATCCTACATGTATTTGTTAAATGTAAACAATGTTTGTAAATCCCAGGCCCTGAAGATGATCTCAATAAAGATCGAAACGCTGGCACGATAGAGAAAATGTTTTTCTGAACCTACATCACACCAGACCGCATCTCACGATTTCTGAATAATTAAGATAATAACTCTCCATTGGTCAACTTGATTCGTGCCTGAGGTAGAAATACTCAGTATTAAAGGGGGGAAAAGCTTTTTTTACATTTTATTTGTTTTTGATTTTTTTTTGTTCTTTATTCAATTTTTTTTTAAAAGAATGTTATAGTAAGATGTAGCATGTAAACAGCAAAACTTGTTTTATTTATAATTTAAAGAACCTTGCAAGTTTTGTCGAATCGGAATGAAATACAAGTTTAGATCGAAAATTTGAACCCAGGAGATTTAATTTCCGAATAAAGGTCTGTTTTTTTAACGAGGGTATTTCAATTACGAGGTTATTTGAACCCTCGGGGTGCCCGTGTTAAAAAAAATAAAAAAATATTTGTAAGTATGTCGGATTAGCGCCGTGTCAATGCCTTAACCGTCGCGGCCACCGACGCCCCTCGTGCTTTTCTTTGTTGTATGTTTTATATTAACTATAATAAAACTTCACAAACAATTGATTTATTTTAAACCTGCGGTTGTGCTCGCATGAGTTTTTACCATTTTAGTGAATTATTTTTAATATATGGCGGCATAATCTTCAGGTTCGTTGCGGAACTCTGTGGCTTTTGTTTTTATTCTTTCACCTTCTTCCTTGCCTGATTTCTTTTTCTTTAAGTATGTAATCCAAAATATTCAAATATGCTAATTTAAGCATATTCTGGAAAATAAAATTTGAAATATTTTAGCACGTAAAAAGGGCCAGAAACAATTAGTCTTAAATTTTTGAATTGAAAACTTCGTAATCTTTAAATATTGGAATATTTGGCCGATCCATAAGCTTGGCACCAGTACATCCAAATTGATTTGAGTAGGCATGTGTATGTCGAAAGTTTTGGTTCTAATTGTAATTTTGATTGTCGATTAAGTAGGTAATAAAGCATTTTAAATCGTTTGTTGAGTGTTTTTTTTTAAATCGTGTGTGTGGATTCCAAGTTAGTCTTATATCAAATATAAGTCCTAAATAGTTAACTTTGTATTGAGGAACAGGTTCGTTGTATAAATAAATGCGAGGACAAGTCCCACGACGGAGTGTAAAGGTGACATGTGACATTGAGGGGTTAAACTTTGTTTTCCAAAGATTGCTTTATTTTTCAATTGTTGATATGTGGTTTTGTACCATAAATGAAGCTTGTATAAAGAGGATTGACTTGTTAATTTCAAGGTTATATCTGCGTATGTGGCGGTAAGTGAATTCTTATTTGTGGGCAGAAAGAAAAATTGTGTACAACAGCGGAGCGAGTATTGACCCTTGTGGCACACCAGTAAGCACGTCTTCCATCTCAGAAGTCTTCCCTGATTTACTGCGAAAAATCTTTTAAGGTATGATTTTGTAATCAGACAATAGGCATGGGGTAGAAATAATTTGAATTTGGATAATAATCCCTCACGTCATATTTTGTCGAAGGCCTGAGAAACATCTAGAAACACTCCAGTTGCGTATAGTTTCTGCTCTGATGAAATTTGTAACTATGTGACGTTGATGAGTAGAGAAATGTTGGGTTCGAAAGCCAAATTGTAACTTATTATGATTATTTTAAAGAATTTTTCTTTTAGAAAGATATGAAGAAAATGGTTTCTAAAAAAAAGGTTATCGTATTAAAAGATAGAGCTGAATAGTTTTTGGAGCACTTTCTCATATAGATTTTTCTCATGTGGCTCATTAAAAATTATCTTACTTATTTTCCAGTCCATATTTACACGAAAAACATTTAGTTAGAATTAGCTGAATATCTTAGATTGAATTTTATAAGTCGATCTTTTTCAATGTGTGAAAGAGTTACAAAGTTATTGATGAATTTTTCATTAAAAGATGATTTATTGTAGACAGGTATGTTTTAAGGATTGCACTAGTCATTGGTAGTAGTTTTTATTTTTCAAGGGGGTCCTTGATCCATTCTTTAGTTCCCTTAGTCAAATGTCTAGATAATATTGAATAATTAAATTGTATGAGCTTGAAATTGATGTAATGGCCGAAAAACGTTTGATGATTGTTTATTTTGTACAAATAGCTTGAATTCAATGAAATGAAGTCGTGGAAGGGGTTGAAGAGGGGCGAGCTGTAGGTCGAGGGGGCTCTGGAAAGGGGCGGGGGCGGCAGAGCACTGCAGATAGCCCAGTTCTTGCCGCGAGTCCGTTGAGCCGAGGTCTCTTCTATGTTCAGGACGGGCTGATCCTCGGTCGTTTCTCTTTTCGACTCGGACCCGGTGAGTTAGGTACCACGCCTTCGGGGTTTCCACGCTCTGAGTCTTGGCCAGAGCGGATATGCCAGGATCCGGTAAACGCGAGATCGGAGCAATCCTCCTGGCCGCCTTCCTCGCTCAGATAGGTAAGTAGACCTGATAGACCCTAGAGAAAGCTTGGAACTCTTTTCTCAAGCTTTCCCGGCTTTCGTGTCATGGATCGACCCACGGGATGTCCACCGTCCTCGCCGCCTCCGGGGCCCAGGTGGTGAGGTGCACCCCTGTGGGACCAATCCTCTTACGTCACTCCCCCTATCGATTCAGCCCTACTATTTGACGCGAAAACATCAAACCGGCACTTCTACCATTGCTACCTGCCCGAATAAGAAAATTTCAGCGCTTCGTCTTTTCTTTTACGATGAAGTTCTTTTACCCTGTCTCGATGCCAGTAGCAACTCTACGCAACTTTCACATAGTCACACATACAATAGTCATTTTATTGGATGTACACGCAATAAGTACATATCAGGTTCTATTGTCAAATGCAATAGAACATAAAATATACTTGATATTTCAGACATCAATGTATGATAAATAGTGCCCTCTCCCTATCTGAACTTTGGTTCTCCGAACATTCCTGTAATCTAAACTGGAAAAAATTCAGTTAATTTAATTTACATCATGGATTATAAAGGTTATAAAGGAAGCAAATGACACATTTGAAGAGAGAGAGAGAGAGAGAGAGAGAGAGAGAGAGAGAGAGAGACGAATTTTCGAAAATTTCTTTTGTTCCATGAATCCCTCACCTCCATTCCTAAGTTAGTTCAGTCTACATTTTTCTTCTGTTAAGTATAATATATCTACTGCTTAAAAATGGGTGAAAAGAAGACAAAGCAATGAAGAAAATATTAAATAAATTTAAAAAACTGATTTTTAAAGAAAAATTGGCAGTATATGTGTATTCTAATAGGTTGTATTTGTATGGAGTGTGTGTATAAGTGTTGTGTTGATTTCTTTTGTGTACGTATGTATTTTTTAACACCCTTAGTAATCCGAATTTTAAGTAATCCCTGCAGCAATTAGTTGGGTTTACTGAGAGAAACTGTACTTTCTTCCCATTACTTTCATTTTAGGACCATTTTTTTGCCGTCTGCCATTTTAGAAATATCGGATTTTTAGTATATTGAAAGATTTTTAAAATGGGTTATGTAATATGCAGTTATATATAAGATTGTGTTTTAACACTAATTATATTTGTACAATAACTTTTCGAATTTTTTAAAAGTTATAGTTGAAATTTTTAATTACATCACTGCTTAACAGAAATAAAATATCTGGGCGCTTATAATAAATTAATGTTTAAGTTTATTTTTATATTTATAAATAGGTCTTTCATTAATATTTTTTTAGGGGTATTTGCTCATTTAAAAATAAATAAATATGTAAGTTAGTTGTGATTTGTATTCTATTCGCTGTTATTTTGTTACTTAGGCAACTACTTACAATAACGTGCAAAAATGGGCAGGTTAACAATTCTGAACACTTCGAGATGAGATCCTCTGTTTGAAGCTGTTGTATAAATTCCTTATTAAAAATATTTGACAAAATATAAATTGCTTTGGAAGTTACTTCTTTAAATGTTGATGTGGTGTGGTTTTTTGATGATGCTCTTTTTTTTTTCAATGGAGGGAGCACTGATAGCTAGGCCTTTCGATAACTGGGCTCAAAGTAAGAATGCCTATACCGAAATGCTGACATTCTAAAATCATTGGTGAAAATACTTTTCGAACCGTACTGACTTGCCAAATTTTCATTTCATGTTATAGTTTAAGAAATTGAGGAGTAAGACAATATTTGCCTAGTTTATAACACAATTTATGCTGTAGTAGGGTAAAGAAGAATGATTTTTTTCAGGTAGATGCAAGGTGATGAACCTGATGAACGGCCAAATTATACTTAGGAATATTAAATATTCGGTTGAATCAACTTCTTTAATAACACATGTATTTTTTTTAACATAATAGTAAAAAATTTCAACGTGAAAAAAAACCAGCTAATCGAGTTGTACTAGCAAGCTGCTAAGCCAATTGCCGGTACCTCGCGTTTTTTCCACCTTTTGCCATTTTTGGTGAAACTTCTGGGTCTCTTATAATTTTTAATTGGGCATGAGCATTCCAACTAATAAATACATTTATACAATATTTACAGATAAAATTTTGGGTGGCACTGGGCTATTTGCCATTCCGCCAGTTCCTCCCCCACCTTTCACCCTAGACACAATTACACACGCAACCACGCATACAACACACACACACACACACACACACAAACAAACAAACAATCAAACAAAAACACACACATATACACAAAACTAGTTTGGTAAGACTATGAGGTACTCTATACGCCACCTATTCACTCGCACTTTTACGCTAATAAATACATTAATTCTAGATGTGAAAAACCACACGTGGCAAGCGATCAAATGACACTACATGCATTTATTCTCTACAGATCGTCAATAAAATATATGCTTCAATCACTTCTGTTTCTTAAAATGACTTTGATTTTTTATTTTTAGTAATATCTCATTACACATATAGAAATTAAAAAATAATAATTTACAAATTTTTACGTATATTTTTTTTACTATTATTTTTATTCACCAGTAAAAATATATTTCCAAAAAATATTTTTATTGTATTTTTTAGGTTAGGGTGATTTAAGAAATTAAATAAATCAACCTTTCAATAAACGTTATTCGGATGAGAAAATTCATTTTCAAATATTTATGGCCCTTCTCTTGCACACACCAACGTTCTTCAAATTATGTTGACCAATTGTCAGTAATGCAGTGATTAAAAAGAATATGATTTAAAAGAACTCTTTCTTATCGAAAGAAAAAGTAAAATCATAGCGAACAATGTGCCAGAGAAATAAAAAGGCTAGGAATAGATTTCCGGAAGATAGCCATTTTCTCTGGCAGCCAGGTCGCATGCGAGGCGAAGGCAAAGAGTGTTTAGAATTGTATGGAGGCCCTGACGGAAGTCAGCGACACTAATGACCGGACCCTGGTATGGGTCCCTGGACATTCGGGGCACAGAGGCAACGAAAAGGTTGACATGTTGGCCAAAAAGGGAGCCAACATGGACTCTATGGGCCCAGAACCGTACTGCGGCCTAGCAGCCTGCGACAAAAGACGATACATCTTAAAATGGATCCTTAAAGAGTCCAAAACCTGGTGGAACAATACCACAGGCATGAGGCACGCGAAAGGATTCATAGACGGACCATCCGCAAAACAAAAGAATTACTGGAAGGCAACCGCAACCGAACCAGGATTCTGGTTGGACTCCTGATAGGACAGATGTTCCCATCTTTACTCATGGGCGTTGAGACCCATGAGGCTCTTTAACGTCCGGACTTATCCCCAAGGGGACTTCTCAGATGCCTAGTATTCTCGAAAGAACACCAGGAAGATTTTACATGCATGGACTTGTCACATCCCTTGGCCAGCGAGGTGGTGCAATACTGAAAATCCATACATGTGCCTTAAAAATGACAGTTTTGAGGTTTTTAGTCGTGCCTTTCACCACCCCCGGAGAGATAGAGAGGCACTCTATCTCCAGCTCCGGTTGGCCGGTACCCTCCAGCTAAGGTGCAATTTGTTTACAAACCACGACCACTACGAGTCCAACTTCAATTAGTGGACCCGCTTGGATACTCCACTCCCTAACCATTCTGATAGGACACTGCCATTTAAGAAAGCACATACACCGGATAGGAGTACAGACAGAAGAAACACTAAGCAGATTAGGAAGAGGAGGAGACCGCAGAATACATTTTATGTTTCTGAGAAGGTCTATGTAGGTGCAGGTTCTTTCAACTAGGACAATAAAAACCGCAAGCAAGATCCTACACCAAGGAACCGCTGGCAAAGCTGTGGAAGTTGGTTAATAACCTGAACCTGGCCAGTGAGTTATAAATAACAGGGGAGCACGATAGATTTATTCAGGTCGAGGTCCAGTAGGCCTTGTGGCCGCTATCCCTATCCCCTATCGAAAGAAAACAACACTTCTATTTGACGTAAGGCTTAGAAAATGCAAATGTAAACACAGTTCATTAACACGCTTAGATGCTTTCTTGTTGTGGGACGTATTCTGTATGAAAAGTACCTATTCGTACATATAGTATTTATTTAACTTAGACAAAACCAACCTAGCATGCCGAGGAAAATTTTGATTTACTTGATACAGTATGATTTGTTGATGATGATGTTTTGATTTGGTTTGGTGTGGTTTGCAAGATTGTTTGAAAGATCCGTCAGGAAGACGTTCGGTTGTACATTTAAGATAGCATTTTAAAATGAACCTAGGTTTTTATTACTTATTTCTGTTAATTGCAAGCAATTAATAAATTCTATAAAAGACTAGTGTAAACAGAAATACAGTGGTATATTTTCTATTCGGACGTGAAGCAAACATAACGTAAATAGTGTAAAATACAGTTTTAAAAACGTTACCATAAAAACCTCGTGAGGGAAAAAATGTCTAAAATTCAAATCGTTTTTAATGAGCTAGAAAAATTACTCATTTCCTTGTCCTGTCACGCGGGCCAAACGTCAGTATCAATTTGAGTTGGTGACAAACAGGATGTAACGCCTACAGAGATGTCCAGTTGAAAGACATCTCAAAGTACTATACTTCATTCTTGAAGGAAAATCATCACTTAATTGTAACTTGTACCCACAATTAATTCCTGGAAAATTTTGTTATTATAGAGATCTGCTAAATATTTAAAAAAATAGTTAAACTTGTCATAAAACATTCATTCAATCAATAACACAACGTACCGAAAACTGAATTGTAATTACAATTTCATCATACTATTCGTTACATAAGAGTTTTGTTTAGTTCAGACAAACTTAAAAATTAATCTATATAGAAATATTTAATGTTTCTGTTTTTTAAGTAGGCTATGGAAACACTCATATTTGTCACCTGACTGTTTTGTATGCTTTGATTTTAATGAGATTTAATACAATTTTTCCCATTGAATACTACAAAAACATGCTTTGCAGTTATCAGATTAATTAATTATAAAATGTATGTTCATTATTATATCAATATATTTATTTGATATCAGTCAT